TAATGTCTACTATAAGTTTTAATATTTGGTAAGAAAATCCTTTTTCAAAAAACTTGATAATTCATTCTCTCAGCATTTTGTTGATTTTTAGGACATTATTGAATAGATTCTGCTTTCCCCATTGATCTGAATTACTTCTTTGTCATGTATCAAAGTTTCATGTATTTGTGGTTCTGTTTTTTAAAACATACTTTTATTGATTTTTAGAGAGAGAGGAAGTTGGGGCGGGGAGAGGGAGAGAGAAAAACATCCATGTGGATGTGAAACTTCACTTGCTGCACTCCCCCTACTGGGGATCGAGCCCACAACCTGGGCATGTGCCTGACCTAGGAACTGGCAACCTTTCTGGTCTAGGTCAATGCCCAACCAACTGAACCACAGCCTGTGGGTCTGTTTTTAAACTTTGTATTTGGTTCAAAGTTAGTCTGTGCCTGCACTAAATCTAATTATCATAATTATCTTAGCTTTTTGAATCTCGATACCTGGTAGGACATGTACTCCCTCCCTTTACTTTTACAGGTGTATCTCAACAGTGCTTGGCTCATTGCTCTTCTAAGTTTTAGAATCAGTTTGACAGTACCATAAGAAACCTGCTGGAGGCTTGATTATTATTACATTACTTGAGGAAGACTGAACATTTTTTTTCTTTATTGATTTTAGAGAGAGGAAGGGAGAGGTAGAGAGAGATAGAAACATCGATGAGAGAGAACATCAATTGGCCGCCTCCTGCATGCCCCCCACTGGGGATTTGGCCCACAACCTGGGTATGTGCCCTGACCAGAAATCAAACTGGTGACCTCTTGGTGCGTGGGTCGATGCTCAACCATAGAGCCACAACAGCCAGATGAACATAGTATCAAACTTTATTAAAAGAAATTTTAAAAAGCATAAGTAAATTGTCATGCTCCTTTTCTGGGTAGGCAGACAGTATTATAAAACTCTCAACTCTCTCCAAATTCATCTATAGATTCAATCAATGCATTGTCTTTTTCCTTTTTTAAGGTATAAGTGACATACAATGTTACATTTAGTTCAGTTGTACATCAAAATGAAATGTAAATGTTAGTGTTCATAACTAGAGCTTTATTGGAATACAGCCTTGCTCATTCATTTGCATATTGTCTGTGGCTGCTCTGGCACTACCGTGGCAGAGCTGAGTCATTGCAACAGAAACCGTATGACCCACAAGGCCTAAACTATTTATTGTTTGGCTCTTTACAGAAAATTTTACCAACCTGTTTTAGAGAGGTTAGACATCTGAGTAAAGCTCTTCCATTTTGTTTTTAGCCTGTTAATATCTTTTAGTGATTGTTGTGAAAGAGCTTTAGTTAAGTTGGAAGCGAACATTGCTCATTCCTTCAGCCCCCTATTTGTGCTTCTGCTCTCAAACTTATTTTATCTAAATATATCTCTTCTTGGCATGTATACTAGCTCTCCTTTTCTTGCTTTACTATTTGACACAAAGGCCCATTACTCTTTATATCTCCTGTGGTATCCATTCTCCTTGCTGGTGCTAAAAGTATTTTATAGTACTTTTTACGTGAACTTTAAAGCTGTATCAGAATGGGATGATGATTGTAAGATGAAACAGTTCATTTAACAGATGATTCTCCTATGCAGGGATCCTTTTTTTACTTTTTAGCCAGACAAAACCAAGGTGAGGAAAAATAGGCAAACTGGGATTGTGAGAGGTTTACTTGTAATGTATACAAGAGATAAGCAAGGCTGGAACGGAGCTCAGCATGTCCTGCCTTACACTATTCACATACCCAGTACACTCCCATTAGCAGTAGCTCTGCTTATACAAAGTGATTCTTAAAAAATCAGAGTGAGGTAGATTGGGATCAACTATTCAAACCATGCAAGTCCTTGTTACTGCTCAGGTCCAGGTATAGAGACCTAATTGTCATATCTGAGATAGTCATAAAGCTGCATTTAGTCATACTTGTAGCCTTTCATTTCTGCAGCTTCTGTGGGACTTTTAAAAGTAATTTAATTAGCCCTGGCCGGTTTGGCTCAGCGGTTAGAGCGTCGGCCTGCGGTCCTGAGAGACCCGGGTTCGGTTCCCGCTAAGGGCGCGTACCTCGGTTGCAGTTTGTCCCTGGCCCTGGTCGGTTGTGTGGGTGGCAGCCACTCGATGTGTTCCTTTCACATCGATGTTTCTCTCTCTCTCTCTCTCTGTTCCTCTCTCTCCCTCCCACTCTACCTGAACAAAAAATGGAAAAATGTCCTCGGGTGAGGATAAAAAAAAAAAAACCAAAGTAATTTAATTTTGCCCAGCTGGTATTGCTCAGTGGTCAAGCGTGGACCCACGCACCAAGAGGTCTCTGGTTCGATTCCTGGTCAGGGCACATGCCCAGGTTGTGGGCCAGATCACCAGTAGGGGGCATGCAGGAGGCGGTCAATCGATGTTTCTAGCTCTCTCTTTCTCTCCCTCTAACATCAATAAAGAGAAAAAGAAAAGTAATTTAATTTCTGTTTCCCCCCTTTTCCTCCCTACTAGCTTATTTGGCCCTACTCATAAGACAGAATTTACCTTACTGGATAATAAAGGTATTATAATTAGAGTGAATTTTCAAAGTTAGACTTTCCTATGTGTGTTCCTAGTCAATGAAACATTTTTTTCTGGCCTTATTTGGGATTTATTCAGATGCTCCACATTTCCTTGAAGGTTTTTGACATTGTGCTGTGGCTGGTGGGTTAACAGTTGGTGGAGTTAACATTTTGTCCTAGGCATGATACCTTTTGTAAACTGCTACATCTGTGCAGGTCTCCTCCACCAATTAAAGTACATACTTTCCAGGAATCTATTCTGTGTTTTCAGACATGCCCAGTGGTTGCTCTTGTTACTGTAACAAAGTAATTTGCAAGAAATAGTATATAAATAAACAAAATATATTAAATAATGTGGAAAGTTGGGTTTTTATTGTTGTTGTTGTTTTATGAAAACTGTGTTAAATGTTGAGGAACTACTTGATCAGGACAAGTCCCTAAAGAAATTTCTGTTTAGTGGCCCATGTAAGACAACTGTGAAAAATTGGTCAGAAATTTTAAAAATCTAGGCTTTGCATTTCTATTAGGGGACCCACTATCAAAAACAATAAACCCCTATTAAGATATTTGTAAATGAATATAGTATGTTTTGTTAATAGGACTAGGTATTTTATTTTTTGTTTCTTTTCTTTAATTATTTTCAGTTAATCGGTTACTTGGAATGATCATAGGGATATAGTTGAGAGTTTTATTGTTTTCATGGATTTTTTTCAATATCTAGGGAATAACTATAATTTATTTACTCTATAGTTGAATTTCCTATAGCAAGCACACATTCATTTCTCTTAGTTTATTAAATTGTCATTGCTTTTAATTTGCAGTTTTTATTGCCTTGCAACTTTGTTATGCTGTTCTGTGGTCTACTCATACAATGATCTTTAAAGGTGTTTTATTTTTTTAAGATGAGGAGGTTCTTACATATTTTTGGAAATCCTTAGTATTATTTTTATTAGGATGATTTTAACTTATTAAATCCAACTTTGAAGTATTAATATTTTCTTTGGTAGACGACAAACTTAATAGGGGAAATACTTTTAACTTTTTAATTGGAGAGATATTTTTAGTTGTCATCTGGAGGTATACATCTTGTGTAGCTGAAATCTATTGCATGTGTTGAATTCTTACTATGAAGGAAGAAATATATAGAGTTAGAAACTGAGTATCACCTGTGTCAGCCAGGGTTCATTCAGGAGACAGAAACCACAACATACATTTTTATGGAGATAATTTAATATAAAGAATTGTTAAATGGTTATTGATGAGTTAAGAATGAAAAAGGAGATCACTAAAGTATCATGGAGGTAGCAGTTACAGTACACAGCTCCTATCCCTAGAGCTGGAGGAACCAAATAAGGTTAAAATTATTAAAACTTAAAGGCTTACAGCAAGGACCCTGTGGAGCCTTGATTCAGTGTTCTGAGGAGGAAGTATAGTCGAATGGTATCTCTGATGGGTGAAATGAACTGTTTTAGTGAGTGCTGGAAAAGTGCAAAGTGAAACCAGGTGCTGCTGGAAACAAAGGTTCTTCCAGAGTTTCTAGGGGTTTGCTGACAAGAACAGGAAGCAGTCAGGAAGTAGCAAGTAGGTCTCTTCTTCCTTCAGCTTCCAGGCTTTCTCCAGCACTCCCCATTGACAAAGTTTTACTGGAAAGCACTAGAATCAGCACAAAAATATTTGCTTAATCCTAGACCCAGTACCACAGAATATGAGAGTGGCTTTGAAGCTGAAAGACAATAGCTTAATTACTGGCTCTTAAACAGCAGCTACCTATTACGTTTACTTGTTGTTGTCTCAGTGCAATAAAAGAAGATTTGTTTGCCTACTTAAATTTTTTCCCCCTTTATTGATTTTAGAGAGAGAGGAAGTGAGAGGGAAAGAGAGAACGAAACATCGATGATAGAGAACATCAATTAGCCGTCTCCTGCATGACCCCCACTGGGGATTGGGCCCACAACCTGGGCATGTGTCCTGACTGGGAATTGAACCTGCGACCTCTTGGTGCATGGGTCGAAGCTCAACCACTGAGCCACACCAGCTGGACTTGTTTGCGTATTTAAATTTAATTTTCAAGACCCTCATTTCTTTTTACATTTGCTTTTCTGACCACTGTAGCACACCTGGATCCTCTACATCACATTTGCCATCATTTATTGACATTTTGTGTCATTTAAGATTGCTATTCAGCTTTTAAACATTATCCTTTCACCTGTATTTCTTGTATTCTTGCTATTACATTGGATGAGGGATGTGAGGCCTTTGAGTTTGAATTTTACTGCCAGACTACTACTAAGTACTTTGACTTTTCTGGAAGTTGGAGATTTTTTCAATGCTTTTTTATATAATAGATTGTCTCTCAAAGTTATGCTCAAAAGAATTATGTTTTTTATGTTTTTGATGCCAAAATGCTTAAAAATAAACTTTAAAATGTAAATTTTATTTCTAATTAGCGAGTGCTTCTAAGGAAGGAGGTGCTGGAGCAGTTGATGAAGATGATTTTATAAAAGCCTTTACAGATGTCCCTTCTATTCAGGTAAGGATGCCAGTATATGGACACTCCCCATGCAAGGTGCCTGTGTGCCTGTTCATATAATTATTTTTGTCCCTTTAAAAAGTATTTTTTTCTGAAATGTAGCAGAATTATTATGAAAGGGGGCAGGGCAGGTAGGAAAAGTAGATGGATCAGAAGCCTCCTGAAATTATTTTCTAGCAGAATGTTACCTGGTCTTCCTTCTATCTCTTCAACTCTATAATGCCCCACTCACCTTTGTACTTTTGTTTTGGGGATGGGGTGGTTTGTTTTGTATTTTGTTTGTTTTTTTTTATCCTCACCCAAGGACATTTTTCCATTTTTTGTTCAGATAGAGCGGGAGGGAGGAAGAGAGAGAGAGAAACATCGATATGAGAGAGACACATCGACTGGTTGCCACCCACACAACCCCAACCAGGGCTGGGGACAAACTGCAACCGAGGTACATGCCCTTAGCGGGAACCGAGCCTGGGTCTCTCTGGACTGCAGGCCAACGCTCTAACCATTGAGCAACTGGTCAGGGCGAGCATACTAATTTAAAACATGTTCTTTTGCAATATTATATAATAAGTGTATGAATGCATAGATATGTTATATATCTGAAGTCATTTTGAGAAATTAGGCCTATTTTTTATTAGACTATTTGCATCTGGTTTTTAAATGACAAAGCATATTAAATATATATTCAAAGTTACTTATGAGTGGAGAAATAGCATAAAGGTATAACGGATAAGGAAGACAAATTAAAGCAGTTTATCTTATTATTGTCCATTATATTCATTCCCCATTAAAAATGGTGCTAGAATAGGAAATAAATAACCTTATTATTTGAAAGATTATTATTTTTTATTTTTGTTAATCCTCACCCAAGGATATTTTCTCCACTGATTTTCAGAGAGAGTGAGAGGAAGGGATGGTGGGGGAGGGAGAGAGAGATACATCAATTGGTTGCCTCCTCGGTGTCCCGCAACTAGGGCCAAGAATCAAACCTGTAGCCCAGGTACGTGCCCTTGACAAGGAATCCAACCCGAGACCCTTTGGTGCTAGACCGTCACTCTAACCATTGAGCAACCGGCCAAGGCTTGAAAGATTATTTTAAACTTCGGGACATAATTTCGATATTGCTCATGGTAAGAAATATTAATGTTACACTTTTGTATCTTTAAGATCTATTCTAGTCGAGAACTTGAAGAAACATTAAATAAAATCAGGGAAATTTTGTCAGATGACAAACACGACTGGGATCAGCGTGCCAATGCAGTAAGTTTTTTATTTTCTTACCCTTCTCCTCTTTTTTTCAGTGTTCTTTTTAAAAATATGTAAATTCACTAGTAGTACTATTTGGTATTTCAGATATTTTTGAAATAGAAAGTCTGATAGGTAACATTTCTTTCTGGAAAATACATTGAGATAGTCAGCATTTTTTATTTAGGGTCAATTTTTATTGTTTTTGCTGATCAGGTGGAACCTGTATCACTCATTTGTTGATTGACCAGAAAAGTATGAGCTTCACTGATGCCTCAGAGTCGTAGTCTCTCTGTTGGGCTACATAGTTGTACTGTCCTTGATTCTTACAGTGTTTACCAAGAAAGCAGTTCACTTTGCCTGCATTCTCAGTATTTTCATTGTCAGTGTAAATTCACAGTAATATATGCATTTGTCTGGCTTTTTCTTTCTTTTCTCACCTATCTCCCTGAATGTGATAAATATTTTCACCCATGATTTAAACTAACAAAAAAAAAGGTCTGGTATTTTTGAGTTAACAATATTTTATTTAGCTTCCTTGAGAAACTATTTGACAAATTTTAAAATAATATTTGCAATGACAAAGGACAGTATTTCAAAGTTTGTGCATTTGTCAAATTTACATCTGAGATACTAAGTGAGCGCCTTATTGTCCTCAAGAAGCCAGAGAAAGGGTTCATTTGAAAACTATCTTCTGCTCTAAGAGCCCCAGTCTGTATTTAGATGGCTTAATGGTTGGTCCTTCTGTACTTTTGCTTATTGATGAATATAGTTTCCAAAATTTGGCTCTTTTAAAAATAGTCTGCTTAGTATATAGTGGTAATGGTTGCACAACATTTTGATTGTACTCAACGCCAATGAATTGTATACTTTAAAACGGTAAATTTTATGTAGATGTATATTTTACCACAATTTGTAAAAGGACTTCCTTAAAACTTTATTATTTTTATTTGTAAATCCTCATCCGAGGACATTTTTCCATTCTTCAGAGAGAGGGGGAGGGAAAGAGAAAAAAATCGATGCAAGAGAGACACATCAACTGGCTGCCTCCCCCCTGACAGGGACAATCTACAACTGAGGTACGTGCCCTTGACCAGACTTGAACCCAGGACTCTTTGGTCCGCGGGCTGACACTCTAACCACTGGGCCCAATTGTCCAGGCCTTCCTTAAAACTTTAAATTTACTAATGTATTCATACATTACATGTCTATTATGCATATAACCAGATCTGTAATGTTCTTTTCCAGAAAGCTTTGTTTTTTTGGATTGCATGTTTATTTTAAATATTTTGTTGTTGTTATTAATCCTCATGCGAGGATATTTTTCCATTGATTATTTTAGATAGAGTGAAAGGGAGGGAGGGAGGAAGAGAGAGAGAGAGAGAGAAACATCAATGTCAGAGAGAGACATCGATTGGTTGCCACCCACACGTTGGGTTCAGGGATGAAACCTGCAACCCAGGTATGTGCCCTTGACTGGGAATTGAACCCGTGACCTTCGATCCAAAAAGGCCAGTGCTCTGACCGCTGAGTGAAACCAGTCAGGACTACGTGTTTATTTAAAGAGACATTTAGTACTGTTCATATGTCTGAATATAGTAATATAAATATAACGATACGTTATTTTTAAAATTTTGTTCAAATAATGAAGTTTTAGGTAGCTTTAAGAATATTTTTGCACTGCCATTTTTTTTGTCAATAATGGAAGTTCTCTCTATTTCAGCTTAAGAAAATTCGATCATTGCTTGTTGCTGGAGCTGCACAATATGATTGCTTTTTTCAACATTTACGCTTGTTGGATGGAGCACTTAAACTTTCAGCTAAGGACCTTAGATCCCAGGTGGTTAGAGAAGCTTGTATTACTGTAGCGTAAGTATATTCTCTATGTGATAAGTGTTTTTGTTTTTTTTTAATTAATTCTGTACTCATTGAATCGGGTCTCATTAAATAAAGCAGTATCAAGATAACCCCCCAAAAACATACATGTGATCCAAAAATCATTTATATTTTAAGGATTCAATTTGTGTGATTTAAAAACAATTTTTTTTCTTAACAGCACTTTATACCAACCTTAAAATGTGTTTATATTTCTAAAGCCTACTGGCGGATTTTTGATCACTAATTCTGAGAGTAAGAAGAAAGTGAATGGGTCTGAGAACTGGCTGCGTTCAGTCTTCTCTTTACTAGTTTAGATATTAAACTCTCTGTCCAATATTTTAGCACTTGTTCTGGAACTGTAACATGCATTATTAACTTACCAAAATACAAACTTATTATATATATTTGTATTCTTCCCAAATTCAAGGATGGTAGAACCCTAAAATTACTTTTACTGCTACTACCCACCTGAATACTTTGTTGTATATGCTATTGAATAAGCATTCCTTTGAAGATGGGGAACACAAAGATGCCTACTATTAATATTTCTAATCAGGATTGAATTAGAGGTCCTCACCAGAACAGCAAAAGAAATACAACAGCCCCAGGAAATAAAAATTATTAAGATTCTAGAAAAGGAACAAACTCCCATTTTTAATGGATGATAAAATTACCCATGCGGTAAACCATGACAATCTATAATAAATTATTATAATTAAGGCACTTTACCAAGATTTCTAGAATTAAGTCAGTATACCAATATACCAAAATAATTGAGTATCTCTTGATTGCAAAACAAAACAAAACAAAAATCCACAAAATGTAACCTTGAAAAATATTCCAGCCCTGGCTGGTGTGGCTTATTTGTTTTAGTGTTGTCCTGTGCACTTAAAGATTGCCAGTTCAGTTCCCAGTCAAGGCACAGGCCTGGTTGTGGGCTTGATACCTGGTAGGGTGTTTGTAGGAGGCAGCCAATCCATGTCTTACTCTCACATCAATGTTTCTCTCTCTTGCTCTCCCTTTCCTCTCTCTAAAAATCAATTTAAAAACAAAATTTTTTTTCACGATGAAAATCCTGCTTCTGACAATGATGCAATAATGGTACAGGACTACCCCTCCTGAAGAAAACAACAGAATATGTAAAACACCTTTTTACAAATTAATGGACGGCAGTCAGAGCAGGTCTATGATTCTTGAAAGAATCAAATCATTTGAACAGTCTGATCAGCACAGTTATGACCTTGAAGCACTTTCTGGACCATGGGAAAGGGAAAGAGAACCCAAGCAGAGCAAGGTAGTTTTACTGAGTTGAGAAGAAACAGAGATTAGAGTTTCTGAAGGGTGAAGTAGCTAAATTTTTTTTTAATCCTCACCCAAGAATATGTTTCTATTGATTTGAGAGAGAGAAGGGGGGAGTAGAGAGAGAAACATTGATCAGTTGCCTCCTGTAGGTATCCCCACGGGATCAAACCTGTGACCTACGTATGTGTCCTGACCAGGAATTGAACCCCCACAACCTTTTGTTGTACAGGACAATGCTCCAACCAACTGGCTGGCCATAGCAGTAGCTAAAATTTGCAGTGCACAGTACTGGAGAGAAAAGAGATACATAGAAAAAGAGCCGTAGAAATCTGCACAGAGGATCCCATGAGTCTAGCTGAATACCAATGTGCATGTGAAAGGTGCAACTCCCTACATACCAGTAAGAATTGCTGGAACTTAGGTTATAAAGTAAGCACCAGTTCCCAGAGTTATTTGAATCAAGAATGTGAATTTTTGGAACTAACTGTATTCCACCCATCTATTTTACGTAAGATATAAATATGTAGAAATGAATCAATACCGCAAGCATTGTCAGAACTGTGAGTGATTACAGCATTCTTCCTAAGTGTTACAACTAAAATCATACAATTAAAAGTTGAATTTACTGTTTAACTACAAATAAGGAAAAAAGAAGGCATGTCCCTAGGATCATCCAACTAAGCAGTATATAATAGATAGTATTGTATTTTCAATCAAAAATTCTGAAATCCTACTCCAAAGATGTCAGGGAGTGTTTTGAATAATGCAGTGGGGGTACCTTGAATAGAAATTGAGAATGTCTTGAGTAATATTGATTTGGGTAAGAGTTTGAACTTGTGTATAAAATATGTTGAATTTAAGATTCATATTGGGGCATTAGAATGGAAATATCTGATGGATAAAGATGGATAAAGGTCATGGTAAACAGCTGAATTTTTTACCTGAAGTGTTAATGGTTAATTTTTGAAATCAGATAGCTTTTCCAAGTGCATTGCAAATAGGTGGTAAAATGGCAGATCTCATCTTTGGACTTGATAGTTAGAAGAAAGGAAAGATGTAATATTCGCACTTCCCTATCTTTCTTTTGCATTTCTGCCATAAAAGCTGGTTAAAAAGTTTATGTTGAGCCCTGGCCGGTTTGGTTCAGCGGTTAGAGCGTCGGCCTGCGGTCCGGAGAGACCCGGGTTCGGTTCCCGCTAAGGGCATGTACCTCGGTTGCAGTTTGTCCCCGGCCCTGGTCGGTCGTGCGGGTGGCAGCCACTCGATGTGTTCCTTTCACATCGATGTTTCTCTCTCTCTCTGTTCCTCTCTCTCCCTCCCACTCTACCTGAACAAAAAAATGGGAAAATATCCTCGGGTGAGGATAAAAAATAAAATAAAAAGTTTATGTTGAGTTAAAGAATATTTTAAAGTTGTGGTCCTACCTATATTTAATGTTAAACTATTAAAAAAAATTTTTTTGTCTTCCTTTATAGCCATCTGTCAACAGTTTTGGGAAACAAGTTTGATCATGGCGCTGAAGCCATTGTACCTACACTTTTTAATCTCGTCCCCAATAGTGCAAAAGTCATGGCGACTTCCGGGTGTGCAGCAATCAGGTTCATCATTCGGGTAGGTTCTTTTCTTCCCTTTCTTTTTTCTTTCTCTTCTCTCCTACCCACACCCACTTTTTTAAATTCCAAGGGAAAATTACTTTTGAATTATTTTTCTGATAATAAAAAAATACGTGGTAATTATAACTATTCCAGAACATTTAAATAATGCAGAGGATTGTGAAGTAAACATGCTTGCACAAAATATACACACATAGGTGTGTATATGTATGTATGTGTTCATATAATCATGTTATAGATAGTAACAGGCTACAGATGTAAAACAGTAAAAATGTTATCAGTAGTGGTACAAGATGACAGGAAAATTCTTAATATTTCTCACCATCCATAGCTTGAAGATACCCAAGAGAACAGAGATAAAAAGATAAATCTGTCCCCCTTGAATTCTGCTCTTCTGCAACTAATCACTGTAGCTATGTAGTACATACTTTTCCAAATTTGTATTCTGTGTCCATATAAACTAGATTTACTACAAAATGTAAAAATAGTACATATATATATGTGTGTATATATATACATAAAATATGGTTTTTTGTTGTTATTATTCCTCACCCGAGAATATTTTTCTATCGATTTTTTTTTTTTTTTATGGAGTACAAGGCAGGGATGGGGAGAGAGAGAGAGAGAGAGAGAGAGACATCGATTGGTTGCCTCCCTCATGACCCCAACCAGGGCTGGGGATCGAACCTGCAACCCAGGTACATGCCCTTGACCAGGCATCGAACCCACAACCCTTCTGTCCATAGGCCAACACTCTAAGTGCTGAGCCAAACTGCCAGGGCTATATATTTTTTAACTTGCTCTGTAAATTTCACATAGTTGGGCTCTTTCTTTGTTTATGAATACTGTGATTCTTTGTAATGTCTAAAGCAGTTCTCTGTTAAAGGACATAACATTAATTTTCCTCACCGTTCTTCTCCCTGAAATTCATGGAGTCCTTTTTCTGTATCCTTTACCAACATTGTGTATTATCAGTCCCTTAAAGTTCTTATAATTTAGTAAATGGCTTATTTCATATTCTACTTTGCATGTCTTAGATTATTAGAGATGTTAGGTATTTTTTCCTTTTATAATTCTTCTATGAATTGTTAGTTCATATTCATTGTGCATTTTTTCCTCACTGATTTCTAAGTCTTGTTATATATTATATGTATTAATTCTGTGTTATATATGTTGCAAATATGCTTTTACCAGTCTGTCCATTCTTCAAATATTGTTTAAACTATTGTTTGTTACATCTAGACATTTTTGTTTTGTTTTTTTAATTCTTTATTGTTGGATGTAAAATGTATTACAGATGTTCCACATTTTTCCTCCATTGATCCCCTCCTCCCCACTCCCGCCCCCCTCCCACCTTTTCCCACACTATTGTCTGTATCCATTGGTTATGCATATAAGTTCTTTGGATTATTTCTTCCCCCCCGCCCCCCCAACCCCTTTCCCTTTGAGGCTTGTCAGTCTAGCAATGAATTTGTACTTCTTAATCCCTTCACCTTTTTCACCCATTCCCTCAAGCCCCCTCCCACCTGGCAACCAACAAAATGTTCTCTGTATCTATGAGAATGTTTCTGTTCTGCCTGTTCATTTTATTTGTAGATTCCATTGTTGATAGATATGTATTCATTGCCATTTTGTTTGTTCATATATTTTATCTTTTTCTTCAAAAAGACCCTTCATCATTTCATATAATAACGGTTTTGTGGTGATGAACTCCTCTAACTTTTTCTTGTCTGGGAAAGTTTTTATATGTCCATCAATTCTAAATGACAGCTTTGCAGGATAGAGTAATCTTGGTTGTAGGTTCTTGCTTTTCATCACTCTGAATATTTCTTGCCACTCCCTTCTGGCCTGCAAAGTTTCTTTTGAGAAATCAGCTGACAGCCTTATGGGAACTCCCTTGTAGGTAACTAGCTGCCTTTCTCTTGCTGCTTTTAAGATTCTCTCTTTGTCTTGAACCTTTTGCATTTTGATGATGATGTGTCTTGGTGTGGGCCTCTTGGGGTTCATCTTGTTTGGGACTCTCTGTGCTTCCTGGACTTGTATGTCTGTTTCCTTCACCAAGTTAGGAAAGTTTTCTGCCATTATTGTTTCAAACAGGTTTTCGATTTCTTGTTCTCGCTCTTCTCCTTCTGGCACCCCCAAGATGCGAATGTTGGCACGCTTGAAGTTGTCTCAGAGGCTCCTTACACGCTCCTCATTTTTTTGGATTCTTTTTTCTTTCTGCTGTTCTGATTGGGCGTTTTTTGCTTCCTTATATTCCAAATCAATGGTTTGCTCCTTGGATTTACGTACTCTATTATTGAAGCTGTGTAAATTATTCTTTATTTCAGTTAATGCCTCCTTCAATTCTAACTGTGTATCCATGATTTCTGACTGGTCCTTTTTTATGCTCCGGAGGCCCTCCCTAAGTTCACTGAGGTCCTCACTAAGTTAATTGAGCATCCTTATAAGCAGTATTTTGAACTCAGTATCTGTTAGGTTGCTTATCTCCATTCCGCTTAGTTCTTTTATTGGGGTTTTGTTCTGTTCTTTCATTTGGGACCTGTTTCTTTGTCTCCTCGTTTTGGCTGTCTCCCTGTGTTTGTTTCAGTGTATTACTTAACGAGAGGTATGGGGCTCGCTGAGACCAGATGCTGCTCGTTTGAAAGAATTTAGGAAAAACCTGAAGCAGGATCCAAGACAGGCCAATCCTATGGTTAAGCAAGTGGCGACAGCTTGGGTGGGCTTGAAAGTTGGGTGGTGCGGGGCGGGGCCTCAGGGAGTCAGCAGGGCGGGGCTACCAGTGTGAGCCAGGTTGCTGGAGTCCCAGATATGGGGACTGTCTGCCGCCCCGGGAAGGGCTCACCAAAGGAACAAAGGCCTCTGACAGCACGTTTGTCCTGGAGAAAGCCCCCTCTCCAGCCCTCGCTCCAGTGCCAAACAGCTCAGTTCTTCCCTGTATGTCTCTGGCGCCCCTCGAGCTGCCTCCCCTCCAAGCTTAGAGGGAGAGAGTCTGATAAGTCCGGGTGCGGGCCTTTTAAGGAGCTGCCTGGGGCTCCAGCCGCTTCAGCTTCCCTGAGCCTCAGTTCCCGCTGGTTTTTCCAGCCAGAAGTTATGGGGATTCTCTTCCTGGCACTGGAACCCTGAGCGGGGCACCTGGTGTGGGACGGGGACCCCTCAGTCCTCAGGAAGGACCTTCCCAGCCAAGGGAACCTCCTGATTTTTATCCGCTACACGTGGGTGTGGGACCAGCCCGTCTGCCTCCGCTCCTCCTACCAGTCTGGATGTGGCTGCTGCTTTAAATCCGTAGTTGTAGGACTTACATTCAGCTTGATTTCAGGCGGTTTTGAATGATGGTTGTTCCATAGTTTAGTTGTAACTTTGATGTGGTTTTGGGAGGACGCGATATCGCGTTTACCTACCCGCCGTCCTGACCGGAAGTCCCTCGACCTTTTCATTTTTATGCATTGAGACAGTGCTCCTTTTGTGGTCTTTGTTGTAGTTAAATGACCTTTCCCATTTCACAATTATACATATATTCAGTTACTTAAAACTTTTATATAAATGGTTATTCTTAGGTTTAGATATAACTGGATTTTATTTCTCTCTGAAATCTAACTTGATTTTTCTATTCTGGTTTTGTCAATTTTATTTGCCTAATAGTTGTTGCTTTGTGTACTTTATGTTCAGACTTTTTTACTATTATCATACCATCTTGAACTAGATTTTTTTTTTTTAAATTCTCCACCTGAGGATATATTTACTGATTTTTAGAGAGAGAAGAGGGGAGAAAGAGAACTATCTATGGTTCGGTACACACTCTGAGAATCGAACCTGCAACCTTTTTGGTGCATGGGATGATGTTTCCAGCCAATTTAGCGACCCTGGTCAGAGCTTGAAATAGATTTTTTTAAACATCTTTTCTGTTTTGTGTTTATTGTGCTTTCTTTATTTTCTGAGAAGTTCTTTATTTTTTGGTCAGTGTAAATTGAATAAAGACATTTTCATTTCAGCAGTTGATATTAATTTGTTTTTTTACTGCTTTCATTCCTGGCCAGTATTTATAATAAACTCTTCTTATTTTTAATTTATTCTGGATCATTTTTGTTTGGTTTTAGTGTGTTCTTACTTTTCATGTGTATTTATCTTTGCATATTTTGAAATGTCTTCGCCCTTACACAATAACTAAAAAACTGGATTTCAGGTTCACATTCCTTTTCCCTCAAAATTGTTTCCTTTTTCTCTCAGAATTTTTTTCTTAAGTTTTTAATGTTATCCGTGAGAAGTGAGTAACCATTTGATTCTTTTATAGAAAACAAACAAGAAACTGTCAGAAGCTTTATAGTGCTGTCTCTTTGTGTTAGGAGTGTCACAGCAGGTCTGGGAGTAGAGTGTCTTTCATTAGTGCTGTCCTTACACAGTGGATAAGGTTTCTAACTAAAGCGGATTTTCCTTAAATTGATTTTCCTTAAATTTGTGTTAATTTTCATGGATTGTTTATTGCTTCTGTTTTCTTTGCCATTTTTTTTCTTTATTACTCTTGTTGCAGACATTTTAGAACCCTCAATATCATTTATCATTTCTTAGATAATTTTTTGTCTCTTTTATTACAGCTGACATATGTTCTCAGGAATAATTCCTCTAAATCTACTCACTTGACAGTACCCATTTTACTATTCTTAGGCTTTGCACTTTATACATTGTTTTTGAATTGCTCATTTTTCATGAGCTTGTCATGTTATTAAGGTACTGTTCTACCATCTCACTGAAAATACAAATCAGGTAGGGTTTTTGTTTGTTTTTCTTATCTCCTGTTTTATATATTTTATTTGTCTCCTAGGGGACTACTTCTTACATTGCTCTATTTGATTCCTTATTCTCTTTTTAATTCTAGAGAAGCTTTTTTTTTTTTTTAGGTTGTCATCTTGTATTAATACATTAATGTCTAAATTGTGACTTAGTCTTTGGTTGAATCCTTTGTCATTGTGAGGGTCATTTTTTATTTTCCTTTGGTATGGCTCCTCCTCAATACGTTATCATAACAGTTAGGTCTCTGTCCCCATCCCTGCTATGTGTTGGAGGTGGGGTAATCAGCAGTAAGGTCTTGGGGAGATTATGAGGGAGAAGAGGAGGCTGATAGGTGAGAGATGATAGTGTGTTGTGGCTAGGGACTGTCTTTGGGCTTTAACTGCATAGTAATGTTTGGGGAATGAGTTCTGGATGTTCTAAGGGAACAGATCCACAGCCCTTCCATGTTGAATGTCATGCAGGTCTGTGAGTGGTTTCTCTCTATGGTAGCTGAAAAAGTTTTTTTATTTTTATTTTGGTTGAGAGAGTTGTGGCAGACACTGATGTGCCTCACACATTCTCCTTCAGTGAAGACTTTTATTTCAAGCACTGTTGGCAGAGAGCCTTCATGTGCCAACCTCTTCAAGGATTGCCTCAGCTGCAGAGCTGCCTTTCCCAAGGTCTTGCCCCTTCTCAGTACGGCCTTCATCCAGTAACTGATTGATATGGATGTGTAAATTTTGGCCATCTTGGGCCAATTCGAGACTACTCTGAAGGGCCATTTTAACTCCAGAGCTCCCTACTGGCCTTGGCAAGATATCCTTGGGCCATATCACAGATCAGTTTCTTTCTCTGCCCACTCCTGCTTTTGTTTCATACCTTCCACAGGTGTTGATCCCAAGGGCACTTAATATCCTGCATGCTACACTCCATCTCAGAGCCTGCTTTGTAGGTAACCCAGCCTGTGCCATTAGCTCAGAAGAAAAATAGAGATTAAAAGCATCAAAAATGAACACTTCTAGTGTTTACTTCACTAAAGAAAAGCCTAAGAATTACTAATAGAAGTCAGATGATTATACCGATTGAATTTTACCTGAATTCTAGAGAGCTATGATTCCGCCAGAATAAAAGTTTAGTTAAAATCACCATTTCGCTCCTGGGACCGAAAGGTCACGGGCTCGATTCCTGGTCAAGGGCATGTACCTGGGTTGCAGGTTTGTGTGGGAGGCAACCTATAGATGTGTCTCACTCATATCAATGTTTCTCTCTCTCTCTTCCTTCCTTTCTTCCACTCTCTAAAAATCAGTGGAAAAATATCCTGGGGTTAGGATTAACAACAACAACAAAAATCACCATTTCAAAGTGCATTCCCAATAGTTAGATATATAGATTCACACTGATTACCTCCTTTGATTACATAGCAGTTATTGTCTTCTACCAGCAGGAACCATGGTATTTGAGAAAATATGACAAATACATGTCCAATTTCTCTTAGTGTTTCTTCCTCCAAAGTTACACTGTCCTAACAGTTCTTTTCAGTTATACAATTAGCTTGCCTTGATTTTATAACATTACAGCCACAGATGTTCTTCTGAAACAGTCATCATTACTAGTACTTTAATTTGGGAAAACATTCTGACTTGTCTTAATTTCTTTCAAAAATCAGATTTTATGTTTTTGTCTTATAGTAATATAACTAAATATGTGAATATAAGACAAATAGAAGAAGGGATTATGTGAAGTGCCCAGTATTTTTCAGCCTTTTCTAAAATATCTTTTTCAGCATACTCATGTACCCAGACTTATACCTTTAATAACAAGCAATTGCACATCAAAATCAGTTCCTGTAAGAAGGTAAGTTTTTTTTTTTAGTATGGCTTTAATATTTCATTTTGTTTAATTCTTAGTTTGGTGCAAAAATTAGTTATTAATTTCTTGCCTTCTAGAAACCTTAGTAACATTTTTTTAATCTTACATCATATAAGGCAGTGGTTCTCAACCTGTGGGTTGTGACCCCTTTGGGGGTCTAACGACCCTTTCACAGGGGTCGCCTAAGACATAACAGTAGCAAAATTACAGTTATGAAGGAGCAGCGAAAATAATTTTATGGTTGGGTATCACTACAACATGAGGAACTGCATTAAAGGGTCACAGCATTAGGAAGGTTGAGAACCACTGAAAGGGAAATTGAATGAAGCAATTGTTGTGACCACGCATATTTCTCAGTTACATCGTATTAAGCTTTGGTGTATTTGGGCCACTGGTTGCTTGGTTTTTAGAGAGTATGGAGTCTAGAGTCAGGTTTCATTTGGAGTCCTACAAATGCCACTAATTGACTGTCCTGCCTTGGGCAGTCATTTGATCACTCTAAACCTCAGAGTCTGCATATGTTAATAGACCTAATGATAGGATTCTGAGGATTGAATGAGATACACAGTAGTATAATTGAACATATTGTTTGGAACAGAGTCAGCAGCCATATCAGGTCAATCAGTCAGTCTCTCTCTCCTTGTGATTTTTGCAAAGTTTAATATCACCATCAAATTAAAGACAGCGAAAACAAGATTTGTGCACTTAATAATGTTTAAGAAAATTGTAAAGAACTTTTGATATTTTAATTTGGTAAATATATTTATTTGAATACTTGAAATGCTAGGAGGAAGCTGAATAAGGCATCATTATTAACTTTAATTGCTTTGGAGTTTTGGTGACATTTTTCCACTTACCTCTCTTCGATGTTGGGGGTTGGCAGATGATAGCTCGCTGGCCAAATCTGGCCAATAATAATGGTTTTGTATAAGCCACAAGCAAAGACTGGTTCTAACTTTTAAAAAAGATTTTTAGAGAGAGAAAGGGAGAGGGAATGAGAAACAACAATATGAGAACGAAACATCGATTGGCTGCCTTCTGCATACCCCCTACTAGGGATCAAGCCCACAACCTCTGCATGTGCCCTGACCAGGAATTGAATTGGCAACCTTTTGGTGCATGGGACGAGGCCCAAACACTGAAGCACATAGGCCAGGGCTATTTCTAACCATTATGAAGGGTGGTTGAAAGGGAGAATGAAGAAGAATATGAGATAGAGATGGTATATGGTTCCGAAAGCCTGAAATATTTACTATTCAGGCTCTTTACAGAAAATGTTTACAAATTTCTGTCTTATGCTAAGGAAAATGGAATTTGAGAAATAGGAATGGAACAAAGAAGAGGGAGTCAGGAAGTGCGTCATAGCATTGCCTTGAAAATGGGAAGTAGTGCAATAAACTGTAGGAGAAGTGAGTGGGGTATTACTCCAACTGAGATGTAAAATTGTGCCACATGCTGCAGAGCCAGCAAGTAGGTCACTGAGGCCAGAGCACATGATAAATGGAGGGTTTTAGTACGAAAACACGTGTGTGTGTGTGTGTGTGTGTGTGTGTGTGTGTATTTTAATCCTGAGGATAAATATACCTGAGGATATTTTTTTCATTGATTTTTAGAGAGAGTAGAAGGGAGTCAGAGGGCGGGAGAGAGAGACACATCGATTGGTTGCCTCCCATATGTGCCCTAACCAGGGCCGGGGATAGAACCTGCAACCCGGTATGTGCCCTTGACCAGGAATTGAACCTGCAGCCCTTTGGTCTGGAAGCCAACACTCTAACCATTGAGCTACCAGCCAGGGCATATACATATATTTTTAAGGAAACATTGTAGAAATAGAAGATCCATCACATCTTTCTTGGACACCATTGTGTATCTTCAATTTCTGATCCATATTAGGTATTTAATAAATATTTTTTAAATTACATGAAATTTGTTTATTTTACATTTGACAAGGATTTTAAGTTAAACTTATGGGGAACTGTTACAATCTTTTTGAACTACGTAGCATAGAAATAGTTGGAACCTTAAAGTAAGTTAAGTATTTGACAATTAAGATATTGAAAAGCATGTGTGGTACAGTCATCTTTAGAAGTCTGGGAGGATTCGTTCCAGGACCCCTATGGATACCACAATCTACAGGTACACAAGTGTCTTATAAGAGTGGGGTAGTATTTGCATATAACCTATATTGTATATAGGCTACAGCAGGATATGCCTACATATCATTTCAATCATGTGGATTCAGCATAGTGGTTGGTATGTGGCAAATTCAAGTTTTGCTTTTTGAAACTTTCTGGGATTTTTTTTCCCCTGATATTTTCAATCTCCTGTTGGTTGAATCTGCAGAGGGCTAATTGTACTTTAATTCAGGGTACAAAGTGCTATATTATAATTTAGTATTCATTATAAGTTAATATAATATAACATTTGGTTATAATTAACTTTTATTTTTCAGGCGTTCATTTGAATTTTTAGATTTATTGTTACAAGAGTGGCAGACTCATTCACTGGAAAGGTATGCATCAGTTCTCCTTCTCCTTCCTCCCTCCCCTCCTCATTGTTACCAGTTCTTTAGAAGTTGATGGTATTGGATTTGTATTATTTCTCATTTTGCTTTAAAAGTTATTTGTATTGGTTGTCCTTTAAAGCTGTGTTGTGGTGCTCCTTTTACTTGTTGCAGCAATGAAAAGTATAATTTTCTTTATAGAGTGAGTGGGGGTCTCTTAAGTAGAATGATACTTATAAGTCATGTAAGATACTTCATGTTAAATTGGGCAAAAATTAAAAATATATCGCTAGTCATGTGAGAGGTTTACTGAGGTGCAGTTAATCAAGTAATTAATGATTTAAGATAGAAGGAAGGCACTATCTTTCTGAGGGAAGAGATTTAAAAAAAAAGTTTCTCCACACAAGCTGTAGGTGTCATTGGTCAGGTATTATACTGGGCAGTGTGTAATGTAGTTCTGGGATGAACGAACAAGAGGAAAATATGAACAGCTAAGTGGTTAGTGTCTGTTTGCATGGCTGCATTGTTGGTTTCAAGTTTGACGCTTGAGATATGCCTACGTTTGTGTTGCAAATTATACTGATTTTCCATTTTAATGGAAATCATTACATTTGTCCACAGTTTCTCTTAAAAAAAACAGAATTTGTTGTTTAATATCGGTATGATATAATTCCAAGTTTTCTTTAAATTTATTACTGGCAGCTACTATACAGTTTAATTAGATTATGCTGATCATAAAATTAGCAGATAATTTTCTACATGGGTGGGTTAGTGAGGAATCACAAAAAAGATTGTTTTTTATTCATTAAAAAATTAAATTTAAGTACTGTACTGTATATTTATACATTATTTGGATTTCATGTAAAAATAATTATTTTTAGGTTTGTAATATTTAACTTAACAGAAGGAAACTGTATAGAATGAAATATAGGAGATGGATTATTAGAAAATCTTGCAGTCTTTGATTTATTATTGTATACTAATTAGTCTTTTTATCTTACCTTCCCCTTTGTGATTGATGTATAACAAGTAAGCATTAACTATTATTTGTGGTGAAATACATAGTTTTACACACGAATCTAAAGATGTTTTATTTTATAGGCATGCAGCCGTCTTGGTTGAAACTATTAAAAAGGGAATTCATGATGCTGATGCCGAAGCCAGAGTGGAAGCAAGAAAGTGAGGCTATAATGTGTTTTCGTGATAGTTTAAATATACTTCGGTCTTTTCATTGAAAGGAACTATATTGAGAGAATGAAAATATTAGAAATGTCCTAGTTATTCTACTTTTGATTAGCTCTTTAGTAAAAGTGAGATTGATTTTCTTCCATTAAGCCTGCACTAGATATCTTTAACAGTTCACTTCGCATTGTCATTTGAATAATCATCAGTATTTCTAATCCATCATAATCTATTCACTTTTGTGAATAAAAATAACTACCATTTATTGAGCATGTGTTATGTACCTGATTCTGTGTAGGGCTATTAGTATTCTTTGTTATCTGATATTTAAAATGCAAAGGTAGTATCTCCATAGATTGGCAACTGAAGATTGGAGATTTGGGGTTTACCCAAGCCACGGACAAACTAGAGATTATAGCCAGGTTTTGAACTGAGATCTGCTTTTCTCAAAAGCCTGCCATTTTTCCACCAAAAGTTATTAAATGTAAATTTAAATTATTAAAAACCTACATGCTCATCTGCATTCTTGAGTGTACACATTTAATTGTTAATGTATAAAAATATTAAGCTATTATACTTTTTTTTTTCTTTTTGTTATTTGCTCATTTGTTTTACAGGACATATATGGGTCTTAGAAACCACTTTCCTGGTGAAGCTGAAACATTGTATAATTCCCTTGAGCCATCTTATCAGAAGAGTCTTCAAACTTACTTAAAGAGTTCTGGCAGCGTAGCATCTCTTCCACAGTCTGACAGGTCTTCATCTAGCTCACAAGAAAGTCTCAAGTAAGGCCATATAAATGATAATTACTGATTTCTCCCTCTCCCCAACTCTTCCAGAATTCCTTAAATTGGATGACTACCCGAATATCTGCTTGCTTTCCCTTAAGCTTTGAATGAAGGATGATTTGAAGTAGTATTCTTTCTTTTTTTTTTTTCTGTATTGTCTCATGGGTTGAATTACATACAAGTATAACTTTTTCTCTTGGGTAGAGTTTAGTGATTCATATTTTATTTCTATATGTTCACGTCTGTGAAAAAGATTAGGAATCACTGATTTATATACATTTTTTTATACCCACAAAATAGTTTATGTGGTAAGTAGCCCTTTCCAGGGCATTGCAATGGAGGAATTGTCATGGAAATTTAAAAATTATGTTCAGAACTGTTAGGCAACACTGTACAACAGGTAAAACTCCACTGTTTTCTTCCCTTGTCTCTTGCACAGCTTCAGATTTCATCACTTCCCTCAAGGGGCAAAATTAGTATCTGACTCACTTCTCTTTAACTCTGTTCTCATCATTGTGTTGGCTGCTGCAAACCCTACTGCTTTGGCAGCTGTGACCCTATTTTCTGGCTCTCGATTGCTAAAGTCTCAGATGCGTTCTGTACTCCCTAGCAGTGGCTACAAGTATCTGCAGATTTCCCCGGGGAAGAACAGCTCACAGAATGTGAGCTTACCTCTCTGTAATTTCCGTCTCTCTGGACCATGACCCCACAAAGATTGCTGGTTTCCTTGGCAGCTCTCTGCTGCAGGAAGGTTAGGACCAGAGTGAGACAAATGAGGCACCTCGGGCGAAAAATTCAAGGAAGCACGCACAAGGTCTTGTGAATACTCTAATAAAGTTGGGTGACTTATACATTTTTAGAATAAATGTAGGATCTCATTTTTAAAAAGTAATTATTGTAGGAATATTTACCTATCTAAACTTTATTTAAATTTGTGGTAAATCTCACCTCCAATTAGCATTGTTGCTTTATCCCCTTTGCTTTATTTACTATGTTCAAACTTTAAAGTGCATATGCATCACCTGAAGAAGTACTTAAAATGCAGAATCTGTCTGGCCAGTGTGGCTCAGTGGTTGAACGTCGACCCATGCACCAAGAGGTCACCAGTTTGATTCCAGGTCAGGGCACATGCCCTGTGGATCTGATCCCCAGTGGGGGGCGTGCAGGAGGCGGCCAGTCAATGTTCTCTCTCATCAATGTTTTTATCTCTTCCTCTCCCTCTCTTTCTAAAATAAAAAAAAAAAAAAAGTGCAGAATCTGATTTAGTAGGTCTAGGGTGGGGCATGAGGTTTTACATTTTTTGCATGTTTCTAGGTGATGTCAGTCAGTACTTTTTGTCCATGGATCATACTTTGAGTATCAAGGATGTAAAGAAGATATTTTATCTTACTTTAGTATAACATCTTTAAATATAAACAACATTCAATTCTGTGAACCTTGAAGTTGTCTGCCTCAATCTAATAAGGTAACAATTGTAGAGGACAGCTATAAAAATAATAAAATATTATGTTTAATAACCAGCTACCAAATTTACTATTTGTAATAACTCAAAGTATATTTCAGTAGCCTAACTTTAACCTGATGTTTTTGCTTTTCTCTTCCTCCATCTTTAAAATTTATAGATATACTTTTCAGATCTTCCTTACATACTTAGATAATATCCTTTATCTATGGGCTATACAATACCATTGCATAAAGATAATTAATCAAAAGAGTTAAGAGAGATGGTGGATTCTTCGATAATTGGAGCTGTTTTGTATTCTAATTGTACGTATTATCCTCAGTAGCAGTTTTTAGCCTTTTTTCCTGTTCCCACACGGTCACTCAGTAGCACTGCTATAGGTAATGTGATACCTACGTGGTCACTGCACAGATTGCCAGTGCCACAACCATTATGACTTAGGTAAGAAAGATTTTAGTTACACTGAATTCCCTCCGTGCTAGTAATAACACTACCTCTCTCTCTCTCTGCGTAAAATATTTTGGAATATAAGTGTGGAGAGTTATTGATTCCACTCTGTGAGCATTGTAATGTATACTGAGGACCAAAGTGAACAACAGCATACTGGTCCCTGTCTCTGCAGAGTTTACAGTCTTTATTCATTTTTACTGATTTCATTTTTGCTTCACAGCTCATTGAGATGCCATTGACATGTAACAACAACTGTTGTATCATGATTTGTAAAAGGGAAATTAAAATTAGAAGTACTGCCCGACCAATGTGGCTCAGTAGCTGAGCATTGACCCATGCACCAAGACGTCGCCAGTTCGATTCCCAGTCAGGGCACATGCCCAGGTTGTGGACCAATTCCCCAGTGGGGGTCATGCAGGAGGTGGCCAGTCGATGTTCTCTCTCATTGATGTTTCTATCTGTCCCTTTCTCCCTCAAATCAATAAAAAAAAAAAAAATTCAAACAAAATTAGAAATACTTCTCAACTCTTTAGAAAACTCAGTGGTTTTCACTAATTGTTTATCAGAGGAGTAATAAATTACATCTTCTTACCTAAAGCATTTTCTTTTTCCTTGTAGTCGCCCCTTTTCTTCTAAATGGTCTACAGCAAACCCGTCAGCTGTGGCTGGAAGAGGTAAATTGCCTTTTTAAGTAAGAGTTGTACATATTTAATAAATAAAGTAAGAACTACTTTATAAATAAAGTAAAAGTTAATGTGTAAAATTATTTTCTCACTGTGGGTCACATTAAAACAGTTTAAAAACTATTGATTTAAATGGTTTAGCTTTTATAAACCATTTTGGTGTACTTTTAAGCTTTTAAAGTGTAGCTTTTAAACTGTTCTAAACATTTAAACTCTAACTGACCTGCAGTGAGAAAATCATTTTATATAGTAATATAATGCCACACATATACACTATAACTATATTTGTATACCATATACATATGCTACATATAATATATAGTAATGTATCAATTATATATGTAATAATCCATATACTATGTGTATTGCATACGTATATACATATATAGTATACTCTGAAGTTTCACCAAGCACTATTTACCCTTAGTTGTGATAGATATACTCTATTTTCTATTTCATTTCTTTAAAATGCTTGTCATGACCCACTCAGTTGATTTTGCAGCCTATTAATGGCCCATAGATCACTATTTATAAAAGTTTTTAATTTTAAAACTGAAAAAGTAAAGATCATAAATTTAATAATCTATTTGCATTGCCTAAGGGTGGCAGAACCTGCATTATTTTCTGAATAATCCCACTCCCAGACCAGTCCTCCTTGCATTTTCTGATAGTTTATCTTATATAATGCTTCATTTTTATGGGACAGTCATTAGTATTGTCTCTTTATCTACAAAACAGTCCTATGAATTTTAAGGAGTATAGTTATTCCATTTTATTAACGAGGAAAATGAGGCATCGTGGTTTCACGTTTATATAAGTTTTATGCTGTTTGCAGTGATTTAAATCATATAGATTACCTTTGCTTTGTTTTTCACAGTATCAGCAAGCAGCAGCAAAGCCGGTTCCCTTCCAGGAAGCCTGCAGCGGTCACGAAGTGACATTGATGTGAATGCTGCTGCTGGTGCCAAGGCACATCATGCTGCTGGGCAGGCCATGCGAAGTGGGCGCTTAGGTGCAGGAGCCCTGAATCCAGGCTCCTATGCATCACTGGGTAAGACAGCTAATTGTGGGAAATTATACAGTGTCTTCTCCCTGGTCTCAGTGAAGTCAGAATGGTGGTGATATAATTATTTCTATTTTATTCTTTCCAGTTAAGCATAGTCAGTGTGTTTTAATATGATTCTGTACTTGGGACATAGTTCTGAGGTATGTAAGCTGCCATTCTTCCACTTTTTCATTTTGTCGTCTTCCTTAATCATCTTGATCAGAGGAACAGTTCTTGATTCCATGGTTTGCCTGTAGGATGTTCATAGCTCACACTACTGCCACATCCAACCACTGGTTGCTAAGGAGGTTTAGAAAGGGCACTAGCCTTGTATCCAGCTTCTCTGTTCTCTTCCACTTTTGTTTCTTTACCAAGAAATTAAAGCCTTTTGTGGTTCTGGGAAAACTGAAACTTAACCATAATCAAAACTTAAACTTATGTTTCCTAAGGCTGCTCAGAGTTTGCCTTTTATGTCCACCAAACTTTAAAGTTTGAATTTGATTATCCACATTGCTTATATCTGTTTTATACTTCATTTTTCTTTCTCTTGGGTAGTACTTACTGGTGGAACACCAGGCAGACAGATCTTGGAACGCAGTAGGAAGTGGAGAGATTTTACTGTGAATGTAGTACATAATAAAGTTGACACAGCTGCATTCAATAAGGGAGAAGATTATTCAGTAAGTGGTGTTTAGACATGTGGCTTACAATTTGTTACAAAATTAAGTTAGAACCATGTTTTACACCATATAAAATTTATTCCAGATGACTATAATGTTGAACAAAAAAATAAAACAACTTGATAAAAGTGTAGTAGTTGGTTATTCATCTCATCGCAGGTGGGAGAAGAAATTGCTAAACATAAAGGTCAAAGACCCCTGAGGGAAGAGTTTGTCAGATTAAATCTTAATTGTGAAAACATCAAGTCAAGTGGCTGAAAACTAAAAGGGAAAACGTTTTTGCCACATACTACAAAAGTCAAAATGTCTATGAGTAATACAAGTTTATTTTTATAGGTAAATATTCTACATATATTAAGAAAAGCATATATCAGACTTTCCCTCCAAAACACCAGAACAAATGTTGACCCTCAGTTGTAATCAAACAAATGCAAATTGAAAGACCTAGAAATATAACAAGAACCTTAAGATTAGTGCCTACTGCCCTGGCTGGGTAGCTCAGTTGGTTGTGCCATCATCCTGATACACCACAGTTGCAGGTTTGACCCTGGTCAGGGCACATATAAGAATCAACCAGTGAGTGCATGAGTGGGTAGAACAACAGATCTATATTTATCTGTCTCTCTCTCCCCCTTCCTCTTTCTCTCTCAGAAATCAATTTAAAAAAAAAAAGATTAATGCTTACCATTGATAAAGAACATAGTTTAAAAGTGCTGCTGTGAATTAATCTTGGAACACTTTTTCTGAGTGTGAATTTACTAATACCCATGAAGTTTTAAATGTTCAGAATTTTGTTCTGGTAATCCAATATATATACAGAATTATGTAAAGAAAGAAAAACAAATATTCCTGTTTTTAGTAATAGATGTTATTAGAGTCAACCATGCTATATAACCAAGGGGGAATGATTAAGTTATGGTATCCTTATATATATCATGCAGCCATTAATTAACAAGTCATTAACATTTTCAATAAAGATCAAATTGTATATATTTCTAAACAATGTGATAATCTCATCATTTTGTATAAAATTATGCATAGATGAAGGACTGGACAAAGGTATTAATAGAGATGTAACAAAGGTATCAACAGTAGGTTGATTAGTGCTTTTTTTTAAATCCTTACCCGAGGACATTTTTTTCCATTGTTTGTTCAGATAGAGTGGGAGGGGGAGAGAGAGAGAAACATAAATGTGAAAGGGACCCATCGAGTGGTTGCCACCCGCACAACCTAACCAAGGCTGGGGACAAACTGCAACTGAGGTACGACATGCATTTAGCGGGAACCAAACCCAGGTCCCTCTGGACCGCAGGCCGACATTCTAACCACTGAGCAAAACCGGCCAGGACTTGATTAGTGCTTTTAATTTTCTTAAAACTTTCGTGTATTATAAATATTATATTATTAGAACTAGTGTTATTTCAATATATGAAAATCATTCAACATAATATATCATATTATTAGAATGAAGGACAAAAACCATGTGTTTGCCCTGGCTGGTTTAGCTCAGAGATTGGAGTGTTGGCTGGCAGACCAATGTGTCACGGGTTCGATTCTGGTCAAGGGCATGTACCTCTGTTGCAGTTTGTCCCCAGCCCTGTTTGGGGTCGTGCAGGAAGCAACCAGTCAATGTGTCTCTCTTACATCGATGTCCCCCCGAACCTCCCTCCCACTCTATTTGAAGATAAATGGAAAAATATCCTTGGGTGAGGATTAAAAAAAATAGGTGTAAATCTTTGTGACCTTGGATTAGGCAGTGTTTTCTTGGATACTATACTAAACATACAAGCAACCAAAGAAAAGATAACCTTTATGCTTAAAAGGGCACCATCAAGAAAGTGAAAAGACAGCAGTCAGAATGAGAGAAAACATTTGCAAATCACATCTGATATGGGATTTGTATCCAAATATATAAAGAACTCTTACAACTCAGTAACAGAAAGACAATTCATTTTAAAAATGGGCATTGGATTTGAGTAGACATTTTTCTAAAGACAGTGTACAAATTACCAATAAGCACATGCAAAGATGCTCAACATCATTAGTCATTAGGGAAGTGCAAACTAAAAGCCCAATGAGATATCACTTCATACTCCACTCGGGTGGTTGTTATCCAAAAGAGGGATAATAATAAATGCTGGCAAGGATATGGAGAAATTGGAACCTTCATACACTGCTGGTGGGAACGTAAATGATGAAGCCACTATTTAAACACAATGGCAATTTCTCAAAAACTTAAACAGAATTATAATGTGATCCAGGAGTTCCACTCCTAGTTGTATATCCAAGACATATGAAGCATATGTTTTCATAAAAATGTGTACGTATGAATGTTCATAGCAACATTATTCAAAATAGCAAAACAGTGGGCACAACCCACATGTCCATCAATTGGTTAATGTTTAAACAATATGTCCATACAATGGAGTGGAATGTTATTTAACCACAAAAAGGAATACATTACCGCATTCCTTCCTTATCCACAGGGCATATGTTCCAAGACCCCAGTAGATGCCTGAAACCATGGATAGTACCGATACCTATATATACTGTTTTATCCTATACATACATACCTTTTCACTTAAAGGAAACATTTTATGGCTTCCCTTTGATATATCCAAATTGCCAGCAGTACTGCTCTTGTACTTTGGGTCCATTATTAAGTAAAATAAGGGTTACTTGAACACAAGTACTGATACTGAGGTAGTTGATCTGATAACTGAAACAGCTACTAATAGGTGGGTTGCATATATATGGTATATATAATAGGATGATTCAAGTCCCAAGCAGGATGGAGCAGGACAGTGTGAGATTTCATCACACTACTCAGAGCAGTGCACAGTTTGAAACTTACAATTTGCTTATTTCTGGAATTTCCCACGTAATATTTTTAGACCACTGTTGCCCACAGGTAACTGAAACCATGGAAAGCAAAACCACAGATAAGGGGGGACTACTGCACATAAAGATGAAGCACTACTAGTAATACATGCTTATGAGATGGGTGGGCCTTGAAAACGTTACGAAGTCAAATACACACAGTCATATATTGTATGATTCCATTTTTATGAAATGCCTAGAATAGATGAATCCACAGAAACAAAAAGTAAATTAGTTTTTGCCAGAAGCTGGAAGTCAGGGGCACAGAGTGTGTCTCCTAATGGGTACATGATTTCTTTTTGAAGTGATGAAAATGTTCTGGAATTAGGTAGTAAGGAGGGTTGTACAACCTTGTGAATATATTAAAAACTCTGAATTGTATACTATAAAAGTGCAAATTTTATGGTACATGAATTGTATCTTAATTTTTTAAGTGGGGAAAAACTGGAAAACAAATAAAAATAAAACATCCTGAGTCTTAAAATACATTTAATATCTATTAATTTTAATACTACAAAAATACTGTATATGAAATGTTTTAATGTGAACTAGAAAGCCAATTTGCAACCATATTTTTTTAATAAGAAGGCCTATGACATGCCATGAGATTGACTTAATTTGTTTCTTTAAGGTTTGAATTGTGTGTTTATTATAGAAGGGAAAGGTGTCCCTCTATCGTCTTGTCTTCCCCTGGCCCAGCTTTACAGTCAGGGACAATGAGCTAATTTCCTGTGACTCTTTCTAGGACATAGATAATGGATTTTCTTGTTCTCTCTCTTTTTCTATTTCTTTCTCTCTTTAACTCTTTCTTTCATCTTTCCTCGGGAAGCTTCACCCCTGCCCCTTCTTCATTTCTCCATCCCCACCCCCCCTCAGCTTTCTTATATATAAGTGACTGGTGTGTACTTTGTTTTTTCCTACATTGAGCCATGCTTATGGCTGAACATTGATGAATCAGAGGAGTTATCCATTGTTTTTCAGGAAACACATCAATGAGCACTTAGTCTTTGCCAGGCACCCTGCTAGATACCTGAGATCCAGAGAAATGTCCTTTTATACTCAGAGTCTCTCAGTCTTGTTGAGTTTTATGCATTTGAGTTTTAGGTCCTTGAGAGACATCAAACTGGAGGTGTTCAGGAGGCATGGTGGGATAGTGAGATTATACACACACACACACACATGCACCTATGCACATTAGTGGCATTGAGATATAGTGGTATGGAATTTACAAGAGAGATCTATGCTTGAGATTAGATTTAAAAGCCATTAGAGAATTGTTCTTACTGGAATCTTTAATTATTTAACTCAGTACATTTCTTAAAGCAGTTGCCACTGGGTTTTTCCTCCACTTAAGTACCAAATCCTTTGGGATCAGGAATATTAGGGTTTTTGAAGTTTACCCTTTAAAACTTTATCCTGAAGAGGAAGCTTAGTGGGAGACAGGAATTTGTATTAAGGAAACCACAAGGTATATGTGTGCATATTTATGAATATTTGTTCTCAATGACTGTGTTTGTGGAATTGCTTAAATGGAAAAGAAAATAAATGATTCTGTCGGTGTCATGTGGACAGGAGTAAGATTTCAGTTAATTGTGGAAGAAGTTGGAATCTGTATAAATTTTTGCTGTGCTTGATTGTCAAGCAAAGAGCTGAAAGAATATTGTTGGAATTTTTTGTAGTTAAAGGTTAATGAATTTTGGTTTGAAAAAAGAAAAAAAGTTGATGAACTTCTTGTTTTTTAAGATCGGAGGAGTTAAATATGTTTGTATACTAAGGTGGTATAGTTAGTAGAGAGATAAAGTTAAAAATGCAAGGAGGATCCGTGGACGGTTTGGCTCAGCAGTTAGAGCATCGACCTACAGACCAAAGGGTCATGGGTTCAAGGTTGCGTACCTAGGTTTCAGGTTCGATCCCAGGCCTCAGTCATGGTCCTGGGGGGGAGCAGCCAATCAGTGTCTCTCACATTGATATTTTTCTCCCTCCCACTCTCTAAAAATCAATGGAAAAATATCCTTGGGTGAGGATTAAAAAAGAAGAAGAAGAATGAGAGGAGATAATTTATGACCAAAATTTAATGAAAGGCATGAGGAATGGCAATGTAGAGCATAGTTGGGGCATTCACCTTGGATGAGGAAGGGTCACCAATTTCACTGAGGTAGAAAGGAAGGAAATGAAGGAAGTAGATTCAGATACATTTGGGAGATGGGGGCATTAAGATATGTGTCATCAGGGAGGTTGTTGTGACTTCCCTGCCTGAGGAGTCAGTCAGGATCATGTGCAAATAAAAAGCAGTGTGTCAGAGAAGTGGCTGGAGGTTTGGAATAACCATTGAGGGGCACAGGTGGTGGGCTTTCTTCTGGACTTCCTACAGCCACCCACACATTTGGGCACTTGACAGAAGGATTCACAGGACTCACAGGCAGTTGTATTCATGGCTGAGGTTTATTATAGTAAAAGGACACTTAGCAGGATCGGCAAGGGGAAAAGACTTATCAGATAGCCTGGAAAAGTCTAAACAGCTTTTTAAAGTTCTCCCTCCCAGAGGTGAGGGTGAGGAGCTGCATAGTCCGTGCTCCTTCATCCAGTAATGAAAGGCAGGAACATATATATGCACAATGTTGCTGCCCAGGGAAGTTCGAGTAAGATGTCTGTGTCCCTCCCTCCACCCCTTACCTCCCACACAAAAGAACCTCATCATTGATACAGGGAGCATCCAAAACAAAGTTCCTAAAGGCCAGCCCCATAAGTAGGTGCTTAAAATAAACTCAAACCTGGGATGTTAATACTTTCCTGCACAGGCACTAAAGGCAAAGCCTGATAATTACTCCAGTTTGGGATAGTTTCAGTCTGCATGATTTCATTGTTTTGTAATTTTCTCTATTGGGCACTTCAAGCAGTAGAGTAGAAAAATCGAGTAGATTTATCCCGATTTAAGGTTTCATAGGGACAGAGTTCTAAGAAAGGATGGGGTGGGGAAGCAACAAGGCACTAGATAGGATAATGATAAGAGAGCTAAAGAGTAGGTGGGGTCTCCTGCCCTGTAGGCTACAAAGGAAAAGAAGCAAGGCAGGGTGTGACTCTGATTAGGAGAAACTCAGCAGACCAAAGCAGGGGGTTTTGCCTGATGATGGCAAGGGGCAGAACATGGCTGGCCTTTGCTAACCTCTCTTTGAGCTAGTGAAAATCAGACTCACTATCAGGGTTTTTGTTGTTGTTATTGTCTTTATGCTGTGTAGGAACCTCATCTTGTTTAATGTCTTAGTTGAAAACAAGCTTCATATATATGTCTATGCTATGAATTCTTATCTTCTAAAAAATAATGTTTTCTGTTTTTTATATAATCATTTCTTTTTCTAATATACTAAGTTTTCCTCTGTTCTTTACTTGCTTTTTCTTCAAAGAGGATACTTCTGACAAGATGGATGGTAAGAACTTTCTAATTCTTTTACTAAAGATTTGTATGGCTCTTGGACTCTATTTAATATCTTTGTTTATTTTCTTAACTTCTGAAAACAGACTGCTTAGTTAGCAGCAATATTAATGTGAAAATGGCTGCATAATGCTCTTATTTTATTTTAGGTTAAGTATATCCAATTTTGGTTTCACAGTCTACTCAAATACTAGGTTGCTGTTTGTTGTCAGTTAAATCAATTATTTTAAGTATTTTTACCTGAGCTCTTAGTAATAATCTTGATTTCTTAAATCTTTCTCTGAAATATTAGCCTTAGAAGAATAGAAAGGAATCTCTCTCACGTCATTTGATTAAACTCTTTAGGTTATTAACTCTGATACAGAGAGAAAATGACATGTTTTTCAGATTAATTAGGTTATTTATGAATATAAAATCCTAGTCACAGATGCTGTCTTTTTGTGTGACTTTAAAACTAACATTTAATCAAAATTCAACTTTACATTTGCCTTTTTAATTTCATTATTCAAATGATTATAGTTTATCTGTAGTTGCTTGGTTCAATATCGTATTTTTTATCTGTGTGGTATTTTTTGTCTGTTACTAGACAACATATTGTCCACACTTACCATTCACTTCTTTAGGTACCTTCATGTTATTTAGGAATTTGAGCTTTATGAAAGAGCTTATAAGAAAATACTGAATCTGTAAGTCACAGTATGCGATCTAGGAAAAATGGAGAACTGTATTTTTTCTGTCAGTTTTTACATAACTCTGAAATTGATATATCTTCCATTCTGATGAAACAACATTTAATCATGGGTTGGGTACATGAATGTTACTTATATTAGTCTCTGCTTCTCTGATGTTTAGTATATTTCATAAATTAAAAAAATTATTGAATGAAATGAAACCTCACCAAACCCTTCCACATGACTTCTATCACTGAGATTATGGATCCTTTAAAAACAAATGATTCTCACTTTTCAGATCAAAATATTTTCTTGTTTTCGGGAGAAACATTAGCCTATTTGAACCACCTTTGTTATTTGTTACTCTCACTGATACTCAGTCCTATATTTTAAAAGACATCTATATACACACAGACATATCTGTTACTGCCCTTTAGCAGGAGTGAGTTATGATATTTGTATTTGGTCATTTTGCTCCTTTTCTTTGACATCTTAAGGAGCACACATAAATGCTGAGTAAATAGCTGATGGATCACTAGGTCCTTATAATGCTTCGATGACAATACTATGCTAATGAGACCTAAGTTGTGAATTTGATTCCCACGTTTGTTAGCTTTTCTAGTTCTTTTCTAGACTAACTTTGAAAAGGCACAGAAGGTATTCTTACTCTGGGAAGATCTATAAAGTCTTCATTTCAAAGAGAAGTAATGACAGTTGCGTCTTTCTTGAGTGATTTTTCTGATTTTCTTCACTTCAAATTTTGAGTATGAAATACTGCAGAAAAAAGTTTATGTTGTGGAATTTTGCCATTTTCAGTTGTCTAGTTTTAACCTTTTTTGTACTGTGAGTCTTTAGGTTACCTCAAATTTTGTTCCTTCTCAAAATGAACCTTAATTTTAGGCTATTAGACTAGGAAGTTTTGTTTTTACCTTTCCATTTTAGTTTTGGGTGGGAGTCACAAAATAGGTCTTAACATTAGCATTGGCAGAATTTGTTGAAATGTTACTGTTTTATTTCTCTTATTTAGGAACAGCATCTGAAGATGGTAAGAATTATACATTTTGCTAGTAACACACATCTCTACATTAATATTTTTATTAGTAGGAATTAAATATTAAAAACTAAAATAGGCTAATTTTTTTTGCAAGTCTATATCATTTGCCAGTTGTGGTAGCTTTTACATTTTATGCTTGGTTGTGTTAGTTATGTATGTGTTTTTTTTTTTAATTCTTCATTCTGGAGTTTTGCTTTATATCTTGGATCATTTCATGCTGGAAAAATATAGTTGCTTAACATGTTTAATAATACCTAGTATAAAATTAGCACACAGTTTTATTTTGTTTCCATAGTGACATTAATGCTTTTGTGTTGTGTTTATTTTTTTCAATGTATGCCAACTCATTTATACTTTGGAGAAGCATGTGCCATTGCCTTATTGAAGTTTAAATATCATCAGCTTAAATGTGTTTAGTCAGCTTTTAAATGTATCTTTGTTTTTGAATTAGTTACTGGGGAATTACATATATGATTTTAATTTGAGACTATAAAAACTTGCTAGTTATAATATTTTATTTTATTGAACCAGTTTACTTAAAAATTATTATTTATTGCTTTTGAATTTGTAGAGAGGGAAAAAATTCAATTTTCTTATTTATCCTGCTGTTTTATTAAATCTCTGATTGGATACACATTTTCTTTTTCCTAATTCTGACATGGATGTGACACTTTCTTGTGATATAAAACAAAATAGATTTAACTTGTTCTTGTTCTCATAGTTATTCTGATATATTTGAAATAGTTTCATATTTTAGGTTTTAAGTTCTAATTCTCTATAAAAATGGTTTCTGGCACTTTGACATTATAATTTAGAATGGTAGTATCAAAATACTTAACTTATCCTAATTTCTTTTTTTGGGGGGGGTACGTGCCCCTAGTGGGAACCGAACCCCGGGACTCTCTGGTCCGCAGGCCAACGCTCCTACCGCTGAGCCAAACCTGCCAGGGCGTAATTTCTTTATTATATTGGGTAAATTCTCCATTTCAGAAATAATAATTTTATCTTTTATTCTATTTCTTAGTCAGGAGAACATTGTATTCTACTTTAAACCGACTCTAAAAGGGTGAAAGGCCTAAACTACGGGCTTTCATGGAGCCTGAAAGAAGTTGATAGAGTGCAGGACTGACTTGAACAACTATACTGGTTTTGTTTTTGCTTTATTCCCAGTTCTTACTGACTTATCTTAATTTTGTGGTTTCTCATTACTATTTCAGGATCTTTTTCTTGACCAATATAGTCAGGTGTGGCAGCATATGATGATTGTCCTACAAATTGTACCTTATTAAAAAAAATTTTTTTCTATATTGATTTTTAGAGAAAGAGGAAGGGAGAGGGAGAGAGGGATGGAAACAACTATGAGAGAGAACATCGATTGGCCACCTCCTACATGCCCCACACTGGAAATTGGGCCCACAACCTGGGCAGGTGCCCTGACCAGAAATCAAACCCACAACCTCTTGGTGCAAGGGTTGACACTCAACCACTATGCCACACCGGCCAAGCCCATTTGTACCTTTTATGTATGTATGTATTTATATATTTATCCTCACCCGAGGACATTTTTGCATTTATCTTCAGATAGAGCAGGAGGGAGAGAGGGAGGAAGACAGAGAGAAACATCGATGTGAGAAAGGCACCTCGAGTGGTTGCCACCCACACAACCCCCACCGGGGCCGGGTGCAAACTGCAACCAAGGTACGTGCCCCTACTGGGAACCGAACTGGAGACTCTGGTCCACGGGCCAATGCTCTAACTGCTGAGCCAAACCGGCCAGGGCCCAATTGTACCTTTTAATAAAAGAGATTGTGAGCCCCTCTCCTCCTCTCTCTCTAAAAAAATCAATAACAACTTTTTTTTTTTTTTTTTTTTTTTTTTAAGAAAAGCCCAACCAGTGTGGCTCAGTGGATTGGGCATCGGCCCATGGACTGAGAGGTCCCATTTTGATTCCTGGTCAGGGCACATGCCCGGGTTTCAGGCTGGATCCCCAGTAGGAGGTGTACAGAAGGCAGCCAATCAGTGTTTCTCTCTCACATTGATGTTTCTCTCTCTCTCTCTCTCTCTCTCTCTCTCTCTCTCTCTCAAAAATCAATAAAAACATATTTAAAAAGAAAAAAAGATTCTCATTCGATACTTTGAGGCTGTATCTTAACACCATACTACCTGCTAGTGTATGTATGTATGTGTGTGTGTATATATATATACACATACATATATATATACACATTTCTTTTTTTTACTAATGACAGTTTCCTTAAGGACTTTGATAAGTAGTACCCCTTTTGGTTCAAGAGCTCTAGAAATAGATGCTTGTGACCTGGTTTTGTGGAGGGGTTGAATCAGTGATAGAAGAGAATGGAGTGCAGCTGAGGTAGAGAAGAAAATGTATTGAGAAAAGTGCCCACTTTTATGGGCTAGTTACTTCTCACATCATTTTATAAATGAAATTGGTTGGTTAGGGGAAGAGAATGGTAAACATATCCATATATATCTGTAGTAATCTGATGTTTAGTACAGGATAAAAAGATTAAATATTTTAGTAAAATATTCTTGCAAATCCCTTTAGAAGAAGTACATTTTCAGTCAAATGGATTGTTTGGGTTGTTCCTAAGATTATGCTTATATTTAAAAATATACTCTGTATTTGAAAATAGATTTCATGGATAATGAAATTTTAGATTTGAAACTACCAATTAAGAAACAAATGGAATGCCTATGGTAACCATCTTAATTATAACTCTACTGAACTAATCAAACTAAGAATGGAAATCTGTTAGTTTGACTTCACTTTTATCTTTGATGGAAAGTTAGCTTATGGTGCAATACATACAAACATACATATTTTTAAAATTTTAAGAGAAATATAACCTCTAAGTGGTGGCTATATTATTACAGAATTTAACAATACTTGGAAAGCACACCCAATTAGAAAATTATAGTGAGATTTTTCCCCCTCATTACTAAATATTATTATAGAAAAAAATGCCTTTATTTATGTAAAAAAATTTATTCCTTAGGTCGGGTGAGAGCAAAGCTTTCAGCACCACTCGCTAGCATGGGAAATGCCAAGACAGATTCCAGAGGAAGAAGTCGAACAAAAATGGTGTCTCAGTCACAGCGTATGTATTGCCTATCAGCTTTCCTGTATTTGTAATATATTAGGATAAATGTGTTGCTTATATATTACTTATTAGGAGATTGACCAGTGGATAAAGACAAAGCTAATTTCAAAAAGACAAGCCACATACTGAGTTCTTGTTCTATACTTTAGGTTCATCATCACCTGACAAAAATGAAGGTATTTTTTTTTTTAATGTTTTGGGTCAGTTGTTGTGCATGTTTTGAAATTTTTTTGAGTGAGTGTTGTCTTGTCTTTGGTGTGTTATTAGGGCTGCATCATTAATATCTGCCACTTAGAAAGAAAAACTTCATCTGCTGTATAAACTTTTGCATGGAGATACGTTAAATAGCACAAATCTCTTAGCATTAAGGTTTTGACAGTTTTCTCAGAAACTTGCAAATGTGGAAAATTGTCCCTTTTAGAGGCAAAATAATTGCCATATATTAACATCTAAACTGGTTACATCTAGCTAATGCTATTCAAGGACATACGTTTTATTTTCATATTCTCCCCCAAATCTATTGGAATACAGTTAGCATTTGGGACAGCTGTATCTTCACAGTGAGGAAACAAATTAAAATGACCAGTTCTGTTATATTTCTTATTAAATTTAAGATTTATATTTTTGCTCTTTTATTGGAAGATAAGTTTCTCCATAAGCTCAATTGTTAAAAAGCATAATTGTGAGGCCTAGGTAAATGAATCATCCATTTCTACATGTTCTAGAATAGTAACACATACACTTATGGCATTACTAAATTAAAGGAGTGTGTTCCCATTCCTTCTTTATCAAAAGATTTTCATTAGCTTTTATCTCTAAAAATAGAAGTTTTTTCTAGGGAAGTCATTCTGGGGTAATATACATACTGGCTATTTTGGAAAGAAATATGTTTAACTATCTTCCACTGTTGTTTAGGTGATTTATCAGGATATAAAAACCCTATTTGTCTCTTTTTAAACCTGATTCCTGAATCTTGGAATCAAAGAAAAGAAAGCTGGGCTTAGAGAAGGCCACAGTGGTGAATATACGAGTTCTACCTAACAAATTCTTCTCTCCTTCTCTTTCCAAAGCCGATAACTCCAGGCAGAGTAACAATGGGAACACTCAACAAGAGTCATAAAAATAAACAGAAATGCTTAGTAAAATTCTAAATTTTACAAGTAGAAAAAATGGCAAGTGCTTTATGGGTGAGAGCTCTTCTCCCAACCGAATTAGGAATAAATAATACCACATTCTTCTCTGATCTTGTGTATTTTTATAATAATTTTTTTAAAGTAATTTAACCTTAAACATTATGACATAGTAGTTTAGAGCCTTGTTCCTCAAATGTCTGCCCAGACCAGCATTGGCATCAGCATCACCCAGGAACTTGTTAGGAATGCACAGTCTCATGCCATACTGAATTCTGTCTATAGCAAGATCACCAAGTGATTCATATTTTAAAAATTTGAAAAGTATTGATTTAAATCACTAGATTCTAGAGCCACAGTGCCCAGATTTGAATCATGGCTCTTCCAATTTTTTTTTAAGTTGTATTTATGTATACTCATCTGTAAAATAAAGAGGAAAATCTCATAGGATTGTTGTGAGGATTAAATGATGCATAGTATATTTAATACACTTAAGATAGGGCCTGGGCCCAGAGTAAGCACTATATATTTTAGCTGATAAAATTGTCCTCTTTGTTATTCATAACCTAATGTCAGCTGAATTTTATACTCCTATTGTATACTTCTATACCGTGTTATTCTGTGGCCTTCAAGAAACAAATAAATAATGATGAAGTTATAAAATTTAAAGCATAAAGACCAAACTCATGGCAGAGAGTCAGACTGCTTTATTATGGTTTTTTAATACATTACTTAAGGACCTCCCTTTTAGGTATATTATAACTACTGATCACTTGAGTAGAATATAGCATAATCTTTTATTACACTGATTTATTTATTTATTTTTTTAACTTTAAAACCCAATCCACAATACTTCAAAAACCTTTCCTAAAGAGGGAGGACGTAATGATAGGCTTTCAGACCTAAGTAGGATTTTAAGACTAGAAGACATTTTTATTATACTTAGGTTTTAAATCATATTGGAGAGGTTTCTGTTTGCTTATTTGTTTAAACGATTATATGTTCCATTCCAAATTGTCTTGGAAAAAGATATTGTGGCTCGATAGAATTTGATGCAAGTTTCTTTATAATATATTTACAGAATTATTACTGTGATATCCATCTTCACTTTGTTGTAGAGTGATTCATTAGGGTTTGCATGGTCTTTTCATATTTTTATGTCACCATTTAGACATAAAGAGAAAAAAAATCTCTTGGATCAAAGTAGGTGTGTTCTGATGGTTAACCAAAATAAATAAAAGCAGACCAAGTGGGAGACTTCTTGATTTATATTTATAAGGGTTGTGTCTTTTTGTTGTTGCTGGTAGTGACTGGTTGTGTACAAATGATTGTACAGCCTGTCAGAAACTGTCTCTCCACCCCAACCCACCCTCTGCCATTCGTTTTATTCTGTGTGTCTTGAGAAAGATAAAATGTGTAGCTTTTGTATGTAATTTTTCTTCAGCTATAAGATGTTATAGTTCTTCCTTACCTGTAGTTTAAAATTAAATGTTTAAATAATAAAAACTTAAACATTTAATTAATTAGATATTAGGCCATCAGAAGAAAAGCTGAAGAATTTACATTTATTTTTGCAACTTCATTTCATCTGCTTTGTACATGAGTGTCTTATTTCAGCTTACCAGCTGTAAAAACTACTAAATGTACTGCTTTTGTTATGGACGTCTATGGTTTGGGGATTTTAAGTTTTTTTGTTTTTGTTTTTGTTTTTTTTGCTTTAGGGTTTTTTATTTTCTAAGAACTGACTAAAGCTTTCTTATTTCCATCTGCCATCCATTTTAAATCTGCTCCTCCCCTCTACATGGATTATAACCCTTACCCTAATTCTGCCTTTACACTTGTTCAGGATCACAATCTGCTAATACCATTGGTGGTAAGAATCTATAGACTCTGTGTGTGCATCTGTTGTTTGATCACCTACTTTCATTATCAAGAATGGGTTCTATTCAGCAGAAATTCTTAACATATAATAGCCCATTTTGTATGGGTTTTCCTTGGCCTGTCTTTTATTACTCAGACCCTCAATTTTTAAAGTTATCTAAGTTGATTCCATAGGTATAAACATTCAGAAGCAAAGGGACTTTACTAATGCCTTGGAAATACCTCATAAAAATACAATGGTAGTTTGAAAACTTAAGGCACACAAGAAATTAGGCACCCATTTTTAAGTTTTGAAAATTAGGATGTATTTCTAGTAGCATGCTATGTCATAGGCACATTGTGCCCTTTTTAATCAACTCTCTGGGTTTCTGAGAAGAAATAATTAGCTTTGGTAGTTCTTGCTGGGGAAAGAGCCTTGATATTTTCTTCTAAGTATAAATAATTCCAAATGAGTCATAGACACTGCAGTTATCACACTGTTGGTAGTGAACTTGCATTATTTTGATATATTCAATAACTCTAGACTATGAGGAGTTGTTGCTCTCCTTCTATACTGCATGTTTCCTGTCTGCTGAATAGACCCACACTTCAAGGAATTCTCTAGTCTCCTACCAGTACCTCCACACCTGAAATTTATATTATTTTTAACTGAATATCATATTATACATGTTCAGTTCATTATTTACATTTTTTATATTGTTGCAAGTGTTTCCATAAAATATTCCATCAGCTTATCTTGCATTGTGAGTTTGTGGCATGTTGGGTGTTTGGATGTTTTGGTGTGTATGTTTAGTTTAGACACTGCATGGAGAAATAGGTGCTTTGTGAGTATCCCTAAAGTTATAACTGAAAGAAACCTGATTTAGATTCTTCACCTGAAACATCGTGAAACAATTCATGTGAGCCATCATTTTAAAGTAGACTTGAATAATTTCCCTACAAGAGTTTATAATTTCTTCTACTCAAATAGTTAAGTTATTAATTTCATTAGAAACACTGCTTTGTTTTACAGTATTGATATAACCAGTGGAAGTTAAGTTTTAATTTGTGTGCTGGTAAAGTTTAGGAATTAATGCACGTGTTTAAATTGTATTCAGTAAGACCATGCCAGGAAAACTATAGCAAGAGTCACAGATCCAGTAGCCCATGGACCACATCCCGAGCCTGCCTCCATTCATGTATTATTTGGTCTACACAACATGATAAAAATCAGGAAATTTTAAAGCTTTAATTTTTTTTTAAAAAATCCCAAGCCTGGCTAGTATTACCTCCAGACAGAGCTGGCTGGAACTAAAAAGTCACCACTCCCTGCCTTACACTTCAGCACTGTGCCCTCATTGACATCCACTGCTTGTCTCCATTGGCATTTGAGTCTTTAATCTTTCTCTGTGGAATTGAAGTATGATTGGGTAAAATTGAACAAGGTGAGCAGTGACTGCCCTTTTGGTCAGGAGAAGTAATGCTAGCAAAGGGGAAATGTTGCTTTCATGAAGATTTATTTAAGTGCAGGTTTAACTTTTCTGTATTATCTACCATTCAGAATCTAGAGTTCGATTATATCTTGCAGTTATCTAGTTCATTTTCCCATTCAATGCAGACATAAAATGTTTTGATAAGGAGCTCATCCCCTGAAAAATTAATGCATGCAACTCTAGTTTTAAACCATGTTTCTTAATTTTTTTTAATCCTTGCCCTAATCTCTCAGATTTTGCCCACCTCTTCTCTATCTCCCTGACCACATATCCTCTTCCTTTCAAAACTGAATATCACTAGTTTGTAAAGGGTCTGACTTCTTTGATGTTTGCCTTTTAGTTCTGTTCTACCCTCAGTACTTCTGCTTCTGCATCCCAGATTGTGGTCATGTAAGATCCCTTTGCTATTTGGAGGCAAATGCAACAAGCAAGTTGCTTTTTCAGCTGGCCAATTTTGTAAACATTTAAAATTTAATTTGTAAAAATTTAAAAAATAACTTGGTTGTACCATTCAGAGGCATTCTCAGAAGGCAGACTTAACATGAAGCAAATTTGCATTATATTTTCAACAAAAATAAAAACAGTAATAGAATTATTAATTTTTTTCCTTATAAATACAGGGCTTTAGCCATATGAAATGTATTGTCAAAAAGTTATTTCTTTGGAAATCTTTTATACTGTTTATGTTCTAAAAATCATAATAATGTTGTCCTTATTAAACATAGATAGTATCTTGTACCCCTAAAAGTGAAAATATATTTCACATGATTTACCATTCAGTTTTAGTATTTGTAGTATATGTTTCCTCCCCCAGGTTATGATTATATATAAATACTTTTCATTCTATTTTTTTTTAACTTAGAACTTGCTATATTAGTACAGTTTTCTCAGATGTATTTCTTGAATTTTTATCCTTTCGGCAAGTTCTCTTGAAATTCACATCTTAACATTTGTATGTGTGTTTGACGTTCAGCTGGCAGCCGGTCTGGGTCTCCAGGAAGAGTTCTGACCACAACAGCCCTCTCCACTGTGAGCTCTGGTGTTCAAAGGGTTCTGGTCAATTCAGCCTCAGCACAGAAGAGAAGCAAGATACCCCGGAGCCAGGGCTGTAGCAGAGAAGCTAGTCCGTCGAGGCTATCAGTGGGTAAGATTTTCTATGTGAGACTTGGGACCTTTTATTTCTTTTGTGTTTCAGGCTTTGGTAGCATTGAGGACTTTGATTAGGCACTTTTAAGTTAGAGGAAAACAACCTAAAATTCAAGGCAAATTAAAAAAGAGGTTTTAAACTGAATTAGATAAGATAGCTTATCTTAAAAGTATAATTCATGTAATTAGTAAACTATTATTTTACCCTTTTTTTAATCCTTGCTCGATAATATTTTTCCATTGATTACCAGATAGCTGGGAGGGAGAGAGAAATATTGATGTGAGAGACACACGCCAATTGGTTGCTTCCCGCATGACGCCAACCCGGGCCGGGGATCTAACCGAGGTACATGCCCTTGACTGGAATCGAACCTGTGACTCCTTGGTCTGCAGGCTGATGCTCTAACCACTGAGCCAAACTGGCCAGGGCTATTTTACCCTTCTAATCTAACACAAACCAGAGGACTGTATTCAAGAAATTTAACCATATTCCTGGTAATGCTTCATTTCTAGGAAGAGTATTTCTTCCCAACCTTAGAAAAAGTCAAGTTATTGATCAGTTTTTAAGAAAGAAAAATAAAACTAATGTATCAAGAGTACAAAGTCTATCTTTTGTTTTCTGCCTTTTTCCAATGCTGCTAATGCTTTGTACCAGCCCGAAGCAGTCGTATTCCTCGCCCAAGTGTGAGTCAAGGGTGCAGCCGAGAAGCCAGTCGGGAGAGCAGCCGGGATACAAGTCCTGTTCGCTCTTTTCAGCCCCTTGGTAAGTATTTGGGCAGATGTGAGGTGCATTGCTTAATAGTTGGAAGGCTGAATTTTTACACTAAAAATATTTAGAATTTCTGCATAGTCCTTTACCATTTTACCTGGTACTTTTTTATATGCACATACATGTAGCCATTTTAGATATTTCTTATAATTTTATAAAATTTAGGTAACTATAATACTTAGAGTTGCCCTAGGTACAACATAGGTCTTACTGTCTATTGGACATGTTAATATAGAATTTCTAGAGATGAATTTCCTGTTCTCTGGGTCATCTGGCTCAAATATATCACTAGACTGTACTGACCTGGAAAACTCCATTGAGCTAGGGACACAGGCAGGGAGATCCTCAGTCTTTTTGTTTAGCCATGTGTTCCAGCTGCCAAAGAGTTTCCCTTTCTGTACTTTGCCAGAGATATATATATATTTTATTGTTGTTGTTAATCTTCACCCAAGGATATTTTTTTCCATTTATTTTTTTTTTAGAGTGGAAGGGAGGAAAGAAGGTGGGGAGAGACAGAGAGAGACAGAGACATCAGTTGGTTGCCTCCAGCACTTGCCCTGACTGGGCTGGGAATCGAACCGATGACCCTTTGGTGTGTGGACCTACGCTCTAACCACTGAGCACACTGGTCAGGGCACTAGAGATATTTTAAATCTATGAGCATTAGTCTTAGTCTATACAGTGTCTGTATGCATATGTGTATACACATACATTAAGAAATGAAATAAGCCTGGCTGGTGTGGCTCAGTGGATTGAGTGTCGGCCCATGGACTGAGAGGTCCCAGTTTGACTCATGGTCAGGGCACATGCCTGGGCTCACTCGATCCCTAGTAGGGGGCATGCAGGAGGCAGCTGATCGATGTATCTTTCTCATGTCGATGTTTCTATCTCTCCCTCTCTCTCTAAAAAAATCAGTAAAAAACATATTAAAAGAAATAAAAACTTATTTTTATAAAGAAATAAATTATACATTTGTGTAAAATAAGCATGCCACCTTCAAGAATTGAAGCAAGTAGAGCCCTGGCCGGTTTGGCTCAGCGGTTAGAGCATTGGCCTGCGGTCCAGAGAGACCCGGGTTCGGTTCCCGCTGGGGGCATGTACCTCGGTTGCAGTTTGTCCCCGGCCCTGGTTGGTCGTGCGGGTGGCAGCCACTCGATGTGTCCCTTTCACGTCGATGTTTCTCTCTCTCTCTCTTCCTCTCTCTCCCTCCCGCTCTATCTGAACAAAAAAATGGAAAAATGTCCTCGGGTGAGGATAAAAAAAAAAAAAAAAAAAAGAATTGAAGGAAGTAGAGTGCGTGAGTGGTTAAGAGCATATATTCTAGGATCTGATGGCCTAGGTTCTTACCTCAGCTCAGTAACTTTTCTGTACCTGGGTTTCATCTGTAACATTAAAGTAATAGTAGCATTTATGCTTTAGGATTGTTTTGAAGATGCTAAGTGAGAGAATATATGAAAAACCCCTCAGAGCAGTGCTCGGCACACAGTGGTATCACCGTCACCACTGCTGCTGCCCTGAAGCTCTAATTGCTTACCTAGAAATAGTGTTGTTACACGTTAGTGGCTAGGATCTTAGCTTTTTTTAATGGTCTAACACCTGTATTTGTGTAATGATAATACTGCAGAGTTATTAGAAAATGTGAGATATCAAGAAGAAACCAAAATGTGTCTGTACCTTTTACATCTGTATAATAGTTATAGATTAGAGGGAATTTATAACCAGCATTTAATTAATTAAAACAAACATTGTTGCCCTGGCTGGTTAAGCTCAGCCATTAGAGCATCTGCCAGAAGACCAAAGAGTTAAAGGTTCGATTCCTGTCGAGGACATGTACTTTGGTTGTGGTTTGATCCCCAGTCCTGGTTGGGGCCATACGAGAGGCAACTCTCACATTAACATGTCTTTCTCTCTCTCTTTCTCTCTCTCTCCCTCCCTCTCTCCCCCCACCCCCTTCCTTTTTCCCCTCCTACACTATCTGAAAGTCAATGGAAAAATATCCTTGGGTGATGATTTAAAAAACAAACAAACAAAACATAAACATTATTAATATCTATTTTTAAGAGATATGTAGTCCAGCCATTCATTTTCTGGATTCATCTAAAAGCCTCCATTTTAGCCCTGGCCGGTTTGGCTCAGCGGTTAGAGCGTCGGCCTGTGGTCCGGAGAGACCCGGGTTCGTTTCCCGCTAAGGGCACGTACTTCGGTTGCAGTTTGTCCCCGGCCCTGGTTGGTCGTGCGGGTGGCAGCCACTCGATGTGTCCCTTTCACATCGATGTTTCTCTCTCTCTCTCTCTCTTCCTCTCTCTCCCTCCCGCTCTATCTGAACAAAAAATGGAAAAATGTCCTCGGGTGAGGATTCAAAAAAAAAAAAAAAAAAAATTAAAAGCCTCCATTTTACAATTTAAATTACTTAAATTTTATAAAAGGAAGTAATTTTCCTGATTCTAATGAAACATCCTATTTGGGTTAAGGATGATTAAGTCTTTTAATTATATATGGTAGTTTTAGAAGAATTTTATAGCTCTTTTTTTTTTTTTTTTTTATCCTCACCCGAGGATATTTTTCCATTTCTTGTACAGATAGAGTGGGAGGGAGAGAGAGAGAGAAACATCGACGTGAAGGGACACATCGAGTGGCTGCCACCCGCACGACCAACCAGGGCCGGGGACAAACTGCAACCGAAGTACGTGCCCTTAGCGGGAACCGAACCCGGGTCTCTCCGGACCACAGGCCGACGCTCTAACCGCTGAGCCAAACCGGCCAGGGCTATAGCTCTTTTATTTACATGTGGATACTGTGTAGTTTCGGTAGTAGATAAGGCCTGTTTGTTACACAGGAATTAAGAGTAGCATTCCCAGAGATCAGATTATTCTCCCTGTTCCCATTTTCTGCTATATTTGCCGGTATTCTGCTGTCCTTATTTTGTTTATTTGATGAATTTTTTTGTTGCCTCTGACTTGAATATTGCCATTTAGCAAGTGAATCCCATAGCTTGCCATTTATTCAGTGGTAGCACAAGGCTAATGTGAGGGTCCTAAAACATCAGAAATAAAGCAGAGCTGAGCAAAGCTGAACTTCCCTGGAACTTGCACCCTTAGTTTCCATAACTAAAATTAAAAGAAAAGCTTAAATTATGACAAGCACACGAGTGGTGCCTCTTAATTTGTTATCTTCAGCCAGATAACTACTGATTCCTTATAGTTTTTCAGAGACTTTCATTCATTAGGGATTGTCATATTGGTCCAACTCTTTCCCACCATTTTAGAAATTATATCTATTGGGTAAAATTAATACTAGCTTATGTATTAGTATGTTTTTCTAACTATCAATCATCTTTCAGGGTCTGATAAAACACTTTGCACAGTATTATTTCTGTTTAATCCCTTCTCTCAATCTTTTGATCATTTTCTTGTTCATTAAGGTCCTGTGGCAAAGGAAAGAGTGATTCATATATTAAAAGTATTTTAACTTCTCTAATTAATATCTCTGAAGAAATGAACTTTTAGAATAAGAGTAATATATTTTGTTAGATATTAAAATGAATTTTTCCTGGCTTATTTGTTTCTGTATGTAAGAAAAAGATTGACTTTATGGTGATCTCATGGATTTAAGCTGTAAAATTTTAAGTATGGTAATTTTAGATTTAAAGAAACATGGCATAAATGTAGGGAGATGTCTCATGCTGTTTCCAGGTTTTATTATTAAAGTAGTAATCTTTTTTTGATATTTAAGTTATCTTCTACTGCATGTAGAACTTATATTCTATGAACTATATGCAAAATGTTTATGTTAATATAAACGAGGTATGTTATCTTTTGACCAATGTGAAGATGGTAGGTATAAGATATTTAAGAGCAACTAGGCCTTTAAACAGTAAGATTCTGAGGTAAATCACTTACTAGTTGTGTGGCTTTGATCAGGTGAATTAACTTCTCTCTATTCTTTAGTTTACCTATTTATAAAATGGAATAGTAATAACTATTTAATTGGGTTTAGGATTAAGGAGATGGGATTATTATTGATTACTAGTTACCATAGTGGTTTTTTTTTTAACTACAATGTTCATTTTTTTGTTTCATGCTTGTACTTTTGACATTTCCTTCCATTTGAATACTTACTTTTTTTGTCTCCTGTGGGCCTGTCTGTCCCCTTAGGTGTAAGAATCTGTTGTGTGTCAAGGACAATGTTGCAATGCTAATGTTCAGTTGCCCTATTTGGCAATATTCTCATCCTTAAGTATTAAAATTAATACCAGTGTTAACTAACTCTCCTTGCCTGACTGTAGTGCTGCCACTATTCCTTGTTTCTGTGGTAATAGATGAGGTTTGTATGGTCCTGTTATTCCAGCCTCCAGACACCATTCCAGATCTACTGGTGCCCTCTACGCCCCTGATGTGTGCGGGGCCTCAGGTGAAGGATGAGTACATTTTCACTCTCATCTGTGCAGTCATCTCAGATTTTTGTCCTTTTCAGTTTCCATTGAATAATATTCATGTTTTAAATTTGATTTGGTTTTTATTTAAATGTAATTTCTTGGAGAATAAATTATTTGTGGTATTTTTATTTTCTCCCAAGTAACTTTTTCCCCTTCAGCAACCTTATTTGAACATTCTTTTCTACTGGCAGATGGACATTTTTTTTTTATATAACCTAAGTTATGTCATTTTAAATGCATAATTGTTTTATGTTCTTAGTTACGTACCTCATCTTTGTACATTAAAAAATAAACAAAAAAAAAAACCAAAATGGTGGATGAAGTGTTTTAATTGTGCATGATGGTATAGAAAGTAGTTGAGGGGGAGAACCCATCGTGTTTGTGAATGTCTTCACATACCTCAGAATGTCAGGTACTTAGCAGTTGCTTAACAAATTTTATATATCATGTCTTAGTTGTAGAATGAAATCAACCTATCTTGAAGGAGAAGAGATAATAGAGGGTTTTTTATTTTTGTAAATTTCTAGTGTGGCTTCAGTGAACTTTCTAATGATTATTGGTTTGAGGATTGAAATTTGTTATATTCTCACCAATATGAATGAGATTTACCTGACTAATAGAGCTGGATTGATTACAGCGTTTCAGACCATGCAAGCTCTTAGTGGGCCAGTAGTGCTTTCTTCTGGTTGTAAATGTATTTTAGCTATTAGTCTTTAAATTTAGTTTTCACACATTGTCAGTAATTTTAACTGCTTTTACCCTTTTATTTGACCGAAAACTATATGTACCCAAAAATACAGTATTGCTTTTAAAATGCTTTCCCCATTGGTTTTTTTTTTTTTCTCCCCTCCCCATAAGGATCTTAGTTTCTAACCTGACACTGTTGCATTTATGACTCTCAAAGCTGTCTTCCTTCTTCTGATGAATTAGGTGCAGGATATGGAATCAGCCAATCAAGTCGACTGTCGTCTTCTGTCAGTGCCATGCGCGTCTTGAACACAGGTTCTGATGTGGAGGAGGCCGTAGCAGATGCCTTGGTACTCTTCTTCATTTCCTTATCTTTATAGATGTTCCAGTTATGAAACTAATGAATGAGTAAGCCAGTCCACCAGAGTCAGAAGGGAGGTGGGAAAATTCTTGTAGATTGAATCTGGAAAGATCAAATGTAAACTAGATCAAGAGCAGTATACTTAATTTCGATCTTTATTAATTGGTCAGAAATTAAGTGATTGGCCAGTAGTAATTGATGGGATATCAAAAATATAAATATTAATGTCTTTAATCTGGTGAAGTTTTAGTACACTGAGAGGGCAGATAGGTAAGACTATAAATATATACATTGTAAGCTTATAATTTCAAGGCTAGCTTAACTAACTTCGGTATTTGGGGATTGTTTTAGTTTGAAGGAGGATTTTGTTTTGTCTTTTACTTATTTGTATTTTCAGAGCTAAAAGAAAGTACAACTGAAAGAGACATTTTAATTACAATATCTTCCTGGCTTTTTATGCCTGACACATTTAACAGTGAACTTTAAAAACATAATCTACAGATCCATTAAACTTTTTCAGAAGAGTGTGGTACATATATCACTGCTGTTTTTCTCATTTAAAATTATGAAAGAAGTGTCATTCGAAACAATGATTGTAATGGGTTTTTGCCAGTTTTCCAAATCATTTCAGTGAGACACTTCCTTTTTCAAATTATATTAATCTTTTGTCTGAGAACATTTTCTCATTTTCTTACCCAGAACTTATGAAAGGCTTCATCTTTGTTTTGAAATTAAAAAACAGCTGGTGGGGCTCAGTGATTGAGCATCGACCCATGTACCAAGAGATTGCTGGTTCCATTCCTGGTCAGGGCACGTGCCCAAGTTGCAAGCCTGATCCCCAGGAAGGGGCATGCAGGAGGCAGCCAATCAGTGTTCTCTCTCATTGATGTTTCTATTTCTCTCTCCCTCCTCTCTCTCTCAAATCAATAAAGAAAAAATATATTTTAAAGAATATGAAATTAAAACATACATTGTGCCTTTTAAAACTGTAGCTCAATCTTAACCAGTGTTGATATTATATAGTTTTGCTAAAAAATTTGAAAAGCTTAAAAAAATATTTATTGATCATAACTGCAATATAATAAATGTAGTGATATGTGTAATTCTGCTCTGGCGATCTACATGCTTAATTTTTCCTTTTAACCTCAGCCATTTGATTATTTTTGAAATAAATTAATATAACTACTTTGTTCTCTTGGGCTTTGGGTATAGTGATCGCATCTCGTTCTGATGATCCTAAATCAGTCAGATGTTTTAACTTTACTATGATCGATGTTTTTTTTATTCATATTTTGTAGTTTCCTTTTATTTTTTTATTTTTTTTACCCTCACTCAAGGACGTTTTTCCATTTTTTGTTCCGATAGAGTGGGAGGGAGAGAGAGGGAGAGAGAGAGAGAGAAACATTGACATGAAAGGGACACATTGAGTGGCTGCCACCTGCACGACCAACCAGGGCCAGGGACAAACTGCAACCGAGGTACGCACCCTTAGTGGGAACTGAACCCAGGTCTCTCTGGATGGCAGGCCGATGCTGTAACCGCTGAGCCAAACCAACTAGGGCTCTAGTTTCCTTTTATTTATTATTATTTTTATTTATTTATTTATTTTTTATCCTCACCCGAGGACATTTTTTCATTTTTTATTCAGATAGAGTAGGAGGGGGAGAGAGAAAGAAACATCGACATGAAAGGGACACATCGAGTGGCTGCCACCCACACAACCCAGCCAGGGCCGGGGACAAACTGCAACCAAGGTACATGCCCTTAGCGGGAACTGAACCCGGGTCTCTCTGGACCGCAGGTCGATGCTCTAACCGCTGAGCCAAACTGGCCAGGGCTCTAGTTTCCTTTTAAACAGATGATTTACCAGTTAAATTCTGCTCACATAAATTTTATGAATTGAGTGGAGTATTCTTAAAATATTCCTTATAATATTAAGATGTTGAGATGTTGTGTTTGAATTATATGGGGAATATTTAACCACCAGGGCTAAAAGTTGAATCCCAATAAAATGATTCTATTTCCATTATTTGCATAGCATAGGTATATTTCCGTTATAACTATCAGTTTTTAGGAAAAGACTTTCCAAGCCTCATTTGGACCATGGGAAAAATTATAGAAATAAAGCTAACTTTGCAGACAGTGAAAGGATCCAAATAGGAAGAAGACTTGAATTGGGAAAACTATGATTAAGGAAATATTTTTGTAGCTTAGATATTTTTCTGTGGATTAAAGGATATTGGAAAGATTCAAGTTATAGCCTGCTAATAAGCTGTTCTTATGTATCTGTATATTTTAAAGCATAATGTTTTTTATTGTGGGCATTGTTTATTCCTACTTCATTCTGCTGTTTAGCAAAATGTTCTTCATTATTTTCAATTTTTCTCTTTAAAAATTTACTGCTCTCAGCTCTTAGGAGACATAAGGACTAAGGTATAGACATTGCTATTTTCTGAAATCTTATGATACCCTAACTGTTTTTCTTTGCTTTATCGCTTTAACAGATGATAATCTTCTATAAAAACTTCAAGTGGAAGTAATAAAATTTTTTAGACATACATCCTGGATTTTGTTATACATATGATTATGAATAGGTAGATATTGGGGTTCTCATCCTTTAAGCTTGAATACTTCGTACAAATGAGATGATGTCATTCACACTGACGTCTTTAACAAAACTGATTCTGGAATTCGACACAAAAAATGTCACATTACCACTGCTATAAATTAAGTTGATATCTCTAAATGAGTATGAGGCATTTATTGATAGGAACATCATTATACAAGTATATGAATTTTGTTCAAATTATATTTTTTTTAGATTTCAGAATTTGGACAATTTATAGCCACCTGGAATTGTTTTAAATTATTGTGCTTTACTTGTTTTATAGAAATGTCTTCACCTCTCACCCGCCTATATTCAAATATTAGATTACATAGAGATTTGTTTTTAAGTCTCCAAGGAACTCTCATATAAGTTATTTACTTTCTGTCATTCACTTTTGATATGCAAGGTATAATTAGCAGTTACATATATTAAATAATAAACATGTAAAGAAATCAAAGGAATCTAAATATGCTTTCTCATATTTATTCAAATAGATGGTATAGACACATTGGGAAAAACTTGGAGGACCCTCAAGGAGCTTGCCTCCTAAAAATAATAGTAAGCAAAACAGGTTCTCGTCATTCTTTGTATTTTACTTCTCTAGGCAACGTGAGGGTTGGCTATAAGGGAAGAAGCAGTGGAAGAGAAATGACAGTGGAAGTAAAAGTAGAGTAGAGGAAAGAGAATGTAAACAGGAAAAAATAGAACTTTACATAATGGGAAACGTGAGGTTTTTTTTCATCCATTTTTCATTTCCTGATCCATTCTCATCCTTTTAAAAGGTAATATTTTCTTCTTACCAACTCAGAGTTCAGTTTCTGTTCATTTATATTCTAGTAGTCCTTGGTTTTCCATGAAAAGGAAAAAAACGCACATATTTTAATCACTTCCCACTTACATATCTGAACTTCCATATAGTCTTATTCTGCATCTAGCACTTCCATAGTTAAAGAATATTTCATCTTCTAAATTCTAAAACATGTTTTTGAAGAAAAACTAAATATTGACATTATACTATTACAGTATTTAGCAGCATGCTTTGCACAGATTTTCAAACAAAAACCAGTCCTTTTGTGTTGGTGGAAATTGTGAAATACCCGTATTCTTTTAGCTACTGCTAATAAGAATCTTCATATATGTAACAGAAAAAACCTGCTCGAAGAAGATACGAATCCTATGGAATGCATTCAGATGATGATGCCAACAGCGATGCATCTAGTGCTTGTTCAGAACGTTCCTATAGTTCTCGAAATGGTAGTATTCCCACATATATGAGGCAGACTGAAGATGTGGCAGAAGTCCTCAATAGATGTGCTAGTTCCAACTGGTCAGAGAGGAAAGAAGGCCTCCTGGGTCTGCAGAACTTACTAAAAAATCAGAGAACGCTGAGGTGAGTGTGTTGTCTTAAAATACTTGTCCTGTCTAGTACTTTTTGACTTGACTTTGTTTCCATAACACCTTAAAACTACTGGTATAGTAACAGATTTCCATTAATTTAAAAGGTAGCATCAAAATATTCTCCCAATCTTCAGTGCTTTACTATTAGTAAAAAATTTTCAAATTCACATGGTCTATGTGAAGAAACATTTTTTTCTTGAAGATTTTTTAAATTGGTTTTTAGAGAGAGAGAAAGGGAAGGCTGAGAGAGAGAAAAACATCTTTGTGAAAGTGGGACATTGATTAACTGCCTCCTACACGCCCTCTACCAGGGGTTGAACCTGAAACCCATGCATGTGCCCTGACAGAGAATCCAACCCACAGCCTTTCAGGGTACAGGATGGCTCCCAACCAACTGAGCCACACTGGCCAGGGCAAGAAGCATTTTATTTTCTACTTTTATTTTTAAATATGTTTTTATTGATTTTTTAGAGAGAAAGGAAGGAAGAGAGAGAGAGAGAAACATTGATGTGAGAGAGAGACATCCATAGGCTGCCCTCTCCACAACCCGCACCAGGGATCAAGCCCGAAGCTCAGGCATGTGCCCTGACTGGAAATCAAGCTGGGACCTCTCAGACCATGGGAGGACACTCGTCCACTGAGCCATACTGTCTAGGCAGGGCAAGAAACATTTTAAAAGGAAACTTTATTCACAAATAGTGTTAAATGAAAAAAGGTTACTAATTTTTAAAGTTAAAATAAAGATACACATAATATTAAAGCTAACTGATTTATTAAAATTCATTCCTGATAAGTTTTTCAGTGAGAGGAAAGAATTTATGGTCACTTAAAAATGAAGGTGTTCTGCCCTGGCCAGTTTGGCTCGGCGGTTAGAGCGTCGGCCTGCGGTCTGGAGAGACCCGGGTTCGGTTCCCACTAAGGGCATGTACTTCGGTTGCAGTTTGTCCCCGGCCCTGGTTGGTCGTGCGGGTGGCAGCCACTCGATGTGTCCCTTCACATCGATGTTTCTCTCTCTCTCTCCCTTCCTCTCTCTCCCTCCCACTCTATCTGGACAAAAAATGGAAAAATATCCTCGGGTGAGGATAAAAAAAAAAAAAAAATGAAGGTGTTCCCTGGCCGGTTTGCTCAGTGGTTAGAGCACCGGCCTGTGGTACAGAGAGACCCGGGTTCGGTTCCCGCTAAAGGCGCGTATCTCGGTTGCAGTTTGTTCCCGGCCCTGGAAGGTCGTGTGGGTGGCAACCACTCAATGTGTACCTTTCACGTGGATGTTTCTCTCTCTCTCTCTCTTCCTCTCTCTCCCTCCTACTCTGTCTGAACAAGGAGTGAAAAAATGTCCTTGGGTGAGGATGAAAAAAAAAAAAAAAGTGAAGGTGTATTTTTAGTGTTTATGCAATATGTGAATTTTAGAGTAATATGAAATGGAATTGGAATTAATTTCTCTAAGGAGTTTATATGGGTTTTTTTAGGTTTTGTTTTTGTTTTTTTTCTAATAGCTTTTGCTTTCCCCCCTAAAGTTTTTGTTTTTATCTGTGTAATGTTTTAAACCTCTGTAGTCTACCCTTTTAAGAACCTAGTTTCAGATTAATTCATAAGTATGAGTGTGGTAGAAAATAAGAGGTTATTTCATGACTTGTTACCTAAAAGCAGGATTTTGATTTACTAGCTATGTATTTATTGTAGGAAGTATTAGCAGTATATAATTTAAAATAAAAACTTCTCCATGTACTAGTAATCTATTTTGTTTGCATATCATACTTCATGAATCACTGCAGTAAATCATAATATTGTCCCCAGTCCCATCAAGATTAGGTTAATATTAGGTTCAATATACCATGTTAAATGGCAAGGGAGTAAAAGATTTTAGCCCTCAGCCCTGACCGGTTTGGCTCAGCAGTGAGAGGGTCAGCCCGCGGACCAGAGAGTCTCTGGGTCTGGTTCCCACTAAAGGCACATACCTCTGTTGCAGTTTGTCCCCGTCCCCAGTTGGGGTCGTATTGGTAGCAACCACTCCATGTGTCTCTCACATCGATGTTTCTCTCTCTCTTCCTCCCTCTTTCCTTTTATCTGAAGATAAAAGACAAAAAAAAATGTCCTCGGGTGAGGATGAAAAAAAAAGATTTTAGCCCTCATGACAAAATTTAAGAAAAACTCTTGGCATTTAAAAGGATAAGATTCATGTGCTGGGAATGGCATTTGTACAGTTTTTCCAGTCATGCTACATTTATGAAATACAATTCTATTTCTTACAACTTTCAATCTTTAAAACACTGAAGGCTGCAACAGAATTATTGTTGTATTTAATAAATTTATACTTACCCTAACTAGTAAATCCCATAATTTTTTTTTATTTTGAGGGCTTTTTTTTTAAGCCCAATTACATGTAAGGTTACTTTTTTTTTTTTTTTTTTTTGGTACGTCCTGTAGCGGGAACTGAACCCGAGACTCTCTGGTCCCCAGGTCAACGCTCCAACCGCTGAGCCAAACCGGCCAGGGCTGTAAGGTTACTTTTAAGTGACTTCTTCCTACAGCAAGATATTAATTAGCCACTTTATTATTTTGACAGTCGAGTTGAACTGAAGAGATTATGTGAAATTTTCACAAGAATGTTTGCTGATCCTCATGGCAAGGTATGTTTTAGTATTTAAGATTATTTGCTTCTGTAGGTGTAATTTGTATATTGTCCCAAAAGAGAAATAAAATAATAGCAAAAGAACTGTAAGCCATTTTTGTTTTATTATTGCCCTAGAATTATAATCATCTTTTCAAACACAATTGAAATTAAATGTCTTATATCAAACATAATTTAGAAGTTGTTCTCTGGTAATCATTTAAGCTTCTTGGAAGAGTGATTGTCTAAGACTAAAAACTGAAGGATATAGTAAGAAGCAGAACTCATAATTAGTTAGGGTGAGTGTATGTATTTATATTTAAAAACATTTTACTATTTATAAAGGAAATAATTGGGGTAAGTTTGAAACTTTTTATTCAGTTTTCTATGTTTATTACAACATAAATGTAAAAATATACTATGTTAAAAGAACAGTTTTGTAGGAAAAAATTGTCATTAAATAACACAAAATATGGCTTTAGCTATAGTTTGGTAGTAATATATATGAAAGAAGCAGTTTGTATATTGAAATAGTTTGTAAAATTTTCAGGACATTGTTCAGTTTTTAGTGTCGATAAAAATGTATTTGATTAAGTATTTCTACATAATCTGCATGTATACTGTGAAATTTTGGTTTACTTTGATGGGTAGTACTGTTGTAAAATGTATTCATTTATTTTGTTTTTAGCTATGTATTTGACAGTGGTGAAACTTTATTATGTTTCTTCCTTTAGGACAGACACCAAGTATCTGCATGAGAATTTCTAACCCAAATGAGAGGGAGATGTGGAAGGGAAATTATAAGAAAAATATTAATGAATTTTACTTTATTGGGGTTTTTTGTTTGTTTTTTTGTCTTCATTTCATTGTTACACATATCATTTTCTCTTTATTTTTGATATTTTCATTACTTGTGACTCTAGTTAAAAATATTAAAATCCCACTTTATACATAATCTAAAATCTAGCTAAAGATTATAAATTACCTGTACTTTAGAAAAATAATTTTCAAAGATATATCCTCTATTTTTAAAGTTTTGAGGTGTACTATGTATTTGTTAGTGTCCTATTTCTTGAAGGAAATATATCCTTATACAATCAGGCTATTTGTTTTTTTCTATATATCTGAATTATTTTTAATTGAATATAATTTGAATTATATATAATTCTATATGAAATTATAGATTCTAGTAGTTGTGTCATTTTTTTTTATCCTCACCTGAGGACATTTTCCCATTTTTGTTCAGATAGAGTGGGAGGGAAAGAGAGGAAGAGAGAGAAACATTGACATGAAAGGGACACATTGAGTGGCTGCCTTCTGCACAACTCAGCCAGGGCCGGGGACAAACCAACCGAGGTATGTGCCTTTAGCAGGAACCGAACCTGGGTCTCTGTAGACTGCAGGCCGACGCTCTAACTGCTGAGCCAGATCAGCCAGGGCAGTTGTGTCATTTTTTAAAGAAAAAAATTCCTAAGCATGTAGTAGATTTAGAATAATTTTAGCTTTTAAAAATGTATTAATAGCCTGGCCGTTGTCGCTCAGTGGTTGAGCGTCAACCCATGTACCAAGAGGTCGCCGGTTTCATTCCTGGTCAGGGCACATGCCCAGGATGTGGGCCAAATCCCCAGTCGGGGGGCATGCAGGAGGTGGCCAGTCGATGTTCTCTATCATCAATGTTTCTTTCTCTCTCTCTCTCTCCCTCTCCCTGCTTCTCTCTCTAAAATCAGTTTTTAAAAAAGTACAAATATGCATCAAAATTTGTATTAAATGCAGATTGCTTTTAAAACTTAATAAGAAAAATTATTAATTAAAAAAAAACAGAAGGTATATTTACTTTATCCAAGAATGTAAAAGTCCCATTAAAGACAAACATTAAAATACATTGATAAGCAGTTTGTTTACTAAAACTTTTAAAAATTTATAACTTTCAAACTGACCATGTATTAAGTAGTTGTGCCATTTTACACTGACATTGCTACCACTAATTATAGCTGTAGGACTTGATTTAATGCAAAAATTTCTATAAATTCTGAACAAATTAACTTAACTTGATATACTTTGTTGGCAATACAAGCCAAAGGACAAAACAGTTATGATCTGTGTGGAATTGTGTTATTAAATGACATTTTAATTAATAAACTTTAAAATAAATGGAATTTTAAAACATTTTTAATAATTTATTCCTACTGGAATGTAGAAAACTGAGGCTGGTTTATTTCTTGAAATCACAGTTTTTTAATTTTTTTTAAGACAGTAATACAATTTAATTGGATGCTAGAACTTACATAGTAATAAAGAGAAATTCTTATTAAAAGATACTTTCTCTTCTTCCAAATACAATTTTGTTCTTTATCAAGAGTCTGGAAAGGGTCAGATAGTAAATGAAGCTTTGCGAACCAAAAAGATCTTTGTCATAACTATTTAACTCTGCCATTATAGCATGAAGGCATCCATAGACAATGTGTAAACAAATGAATGTCTGGCTTGCAATAAAACTTTATTTATGAACATTGAGATTTTAATTCTCATATAATTTTCATGTGTCACTAAATAGCCTTTTGACTAAAAAAAAATATTTTTATGTGAAAACAATTCTCAGTTTGCAGATCATAGTTTGCTGACTCCAGTTCTCTAATGACACTAAAATAGAAACCTATAATTAAGACCCTCTAGGCCCTGTCCGAGTAGCTCAGTTGGTTAGAGCATCATTTCAATATGCCAAAGTTGTGGGTTCTGTTCCTAGTCGGAGCACATATAAGAATCAACTAATGAGCCCTGGCTAGTTTGGCTCAGCAGTTAGAGCGTCAGCCTGGAGTCCAGAGAGACCCGGGTTCAGTTCTCGATAAGGGCACATACCTCGGTTGCAGTTTGTCCCCGGCCCTGGTTGGGTCATGCGGGTGGCAGCCACTCGATGTGTACCTTTCACGTTGATGTTTCTCTCTCTCTTCCACTCTATCTGAATAAAAAATGAAAAAATGTCCTCAAGTGAGGATAAAAAAAAAAAGAAGAATCAACCAATGAATGCATAAATAAGTAGAACAACAAATTGATGTTTCCTTCCTTCTCTCTCTCTCTCTCTCTCTCTCTGCCTCAAATTAAAAAAAAACAACAAAAAAAACGCCCTGGCCAGTTTGACTCAGCGGTTGGAGCATTGGCCTGCGGACCAGAGAGCCCTGGGTTCAGTTGCTGCTAGGGGCACATACCAAAAAAAAAAACCTCTACTGGAGGAGCTCATGCTATTGGTTCAGGGTTAAGACTGTTGGGAACAATGTACTCTGGCCCCTGCTGTTTGAAACCATCTCTGTGCATTTCTGTATAGTCCGGCCATTCTCCATTTCTGATCTGTGATTTTTGTCTAAGTGCTTAGTGCTGCCTAGTAATTCTCTTCCTCTCATTTCTCTGTCTTCCGCGGAGACCTGCCAAATAGTCTGTCCTCAAAAATCAAGCCGTGTTCACCTCCCCACTGATCTCATGCCCCAAGTATATGTCCTGGCCTCTTATTTTGCCAAGAAAATAAAAGCCATCAAGCAGAAATTCCATTTCCTGCCTCAAAACCAGCAAACTTAACTGCACATCATTCTTACCTTTATTCCTACCTTTACTCCTCTGGAGATGGAAGAAGGGCTTACCTTGAAGTAATTATTGGGCTACATAAATAAAATATGTATCCTATTTCTTGCTAATATGGTCTAATCAGCTTGGTCAGGAATTTCTCATAAATTTCAATTTGTTGATTGACATCCCTTTTTGTTTTTCAACTTTATTATGTGTTTATTCAATGTGTCTTTTCTGTCATTTTAAGGAATATGCTGTGGGAGAGGAAGATGAGGTCTGTTTTTTTATTCTGTTGTGCCTGATTACTGACTTTTCAGACCCCTATCTCTAAAGCTAGTGTTGCTTAGAGTCTTGTCCTAGGCTCTCTTCTTTCAACTTCATACCTTCTCTGAAGAATAAATTACTCACTTCATCCTAATGATTCTCAGATGTGACCTTAAAGCCCTTATTTTTTCTCCTGCACTTTCATCACATGCCTATTGGCCATCTTCAACTTTTTTTTTTTATCCTCCCCTGAGGACTTTTTTTTTTGCATTTATCTTCAGATAGAGTGGGAGGGGGAGAGAGGGAGAGAGAAACATCGATGAGAGAGAGAAACATCGATGTTAGAGAGACACATCAAGTGGTTGCCACCCACACAACCCCAACCAGGGCCGGGGACAAACTGCAACGGAGGTACGTGCCCTTAGTGGGAACCGAACCCAGAACTCTGGTCCATGGACCGACACTCTTAACCGCTGAGCCAAACCAGCCAGGGCAGTCATCTTTAACTTTAAAACTACTCCTTTTCTCATACACAGATTTATTTCATAAGATGAAATCACTATCCCCTCATTGCTTAAGTGAAGAATTTGGGCACTATTCTAGAAACTTCACTCAATCTTAATTGATTTCAACCTTTTAAATATCTCTCCATTCTCACTGCTAATTCAGGTCACAATCATCTTTTGCCTGTTGTACCTCCTCCCCACTTCTTCTCCCTAAATTCTCCATACTGCATTCTTTAGAAATCTTTCTAAAATAATTCTATCTATTACCTTAATGCACTTCAGTCACTAGTCATTCATCTCAAGAAAATATTCAAACAAAGCCTATCATTTGGCTTGTTATTTCTTCTTCCTTCTCAGCCCAGCCTGAATTGTTCATTATCCCCAAATGTGAAATGCACTTTTCCCTATAACTTTAGAATATGCTATTAGGGACACTTTCTTTTTCAAGCCTGAGTTAGCTTTTACTCTGAGTTGGAATCAATTCTCTGAAAGCTCACGGGGCAGAAACATCTGAAGCCTTGCCCCCAGAAGGAGCCATAGTGCTTTGGAGGAGGTATCAACCATGTTCTAGGTTGAAGTCGACATATCAGTCTCTATATTAACAGCCTCCGTATAGTAACCATCTTCCATGCTAACTGAAAGTTGTCCTCCTCCCCAACATGACAGACCACCTGCTGTCCCCAGCAAAAAGAGG